CACTGTCACCGATCGATGAACTCTACGATAGCTGGCTACGATAGCTAGATTGACAATGTTCGGTTGTGCATGTATTCGTCATAAGGATCCAATGCAAGGTACCGGTAACGGAGTGTAGCCAGTAAAGCGGAACCTGAGTGTGTTTGGTACTGTTGCCACTGTCACGGATCGATGTAACTCTACGGCAACTGGCTACAACGGCTGGATTGACAATGTTCGGTTTTGCATGTATTCGTCATAAGGATCCAATGCAAGGTACAGGTAATGGAGTGTAGCCAGTAAAGCGGAACCTGAGTGTGTTCGATACTGTTGCCACTGTCACGAATCGATGTAACTCTCTGCCTACGGTACCGTAGCTGGCTACAATGTCTAGATTGCGAGCAAACTGAGGAAACAGGAGACGAAGGCTGACAAAAATACAAATTCCTATTTCCTATTCCGGTGAAGCCTAAATATAGGGATAGAGATAGTCATAAGCCAATCGAACTGAAATTGAAGGTTCTACAAATTTAAGGGTAGGAATAAATCATGATTATTCAAGGTTAGTGCACTCAACACAATAAGCCAGCAGAAGCTACAAAAGTTACAGTTCCATAAGGGAATAACAGCTGTAAAATTATGGTTAGCGGGCAGCAACACACGACGAAGTCGGGTGTTGTCGCCAGGGCTAGCTTAAATAAAAAAGAAGGTTATAATGAGGGAATGGTACCGGGCGGCAACACACGACGGAGTCGGGTGTTGTCGCCAAGGCTACCTTGAAACAAGGGTGCAATCTCAAACATGTCATCCTTCTTCTATTTGTCTTTCTGCCGAGGTATCGCAGCTCCCGCTGACTTATATTAGGCATGAAACCATAGCCCAAAACCATTGCAGGAACTACTCCGGCATGAGACTCGATTGAAGATTCGATTTGGGTGGTTTCGGTACTTCTCGACACACGACACGGAACAGCTCTTGTATTCCTACCGCGACACGCCTTATCAAAGTGAACACTCGGCAAACCTGAGCTGCATGGGAAAGTCTGGGTCCATTCACATTAACTACATGTAACTAAGCTTTTGCTTGCCTTCTTCTTCCAACCTTACATACAGTACTTGAAGTGGTACCGGTACAGGTCTAACAACCATGGGACTTTTCAATCAAGTCCGCGTTTTCCTACATGTGATGGCAATGCTAATTCAAGATATTGCTCCCTCGTATATTAGATCAATCACTTCCCAAGCCGTATCTTCAGACGAATGAGACCTCAAGGATCAGTAAAAGTGGATTCATTCGATTCAATCAGAGCTCAAGGCAACCAACGATCAGCTTCTGCTGGATTAGGGTACCTGGTATCCATGCATGAGGCACACAAACCCTGCTTCTCCATCCTTGGCATGCCTGTGGGGCAGAAATTTGGGAAACTGATTGTACTGTTTATTGTAATAAATGTTTCTGCTAATAGAGTTTTGAAGAAAAATGAGTGGACCAACCGCAAACTCTTGGAGCCTGCCTCTGTGGCTGTGGCATCTTCTAAAGCGGGTAAAGACACTGAACTACTAGTACATGTATGCATAGCTAGCAATCTTAATAGCAAGTTAGTATTGTAAAGAACCGGTGCCGAAACAGGGTGATCTTATTACTCAGCATCTACAAAATTTCGGTGATGGAACACTTGGGCTGTACGCGAATGTACATCGTACCTTGATCATGAACTGTGACTCTTACTCTTATACCCATGTACTAATCGAAGCTTGGGGTATGTTGAAGTCGGGGAAAACACTTAAACACTGCACATGCAGCAGATGGTTCGTGTTCTGTATGATTGCGAGAGCCTCTGAAACGCACGCGGTTGTATTATACGTATAACATTTTTACTATGTATTCTACAGATCATACGTATTACACATATAACATTTTTAATATGTATTAGACAAGTCATACGTACAACACAGATAACACAAGTGGAACAATATTATACGTATTACATGTATTATGTGTTGTACGTGTTTTACGTATAATACATAGTGACGAATTTTTGCCAAGTTTTTTTGCCAGGTGTTTTGCCAGGTGTTTGGGAGGCAGAGAGGAAGATGCACTGTTGCAGGCCATAATACCTGACAGCTTATCAAGTAAAATGGACTCTTACCTATCTGAACTCTCTCATGTTGCTAGATACAATATCAATGATGAAGAATGGACTCCTGCTTCCATCATTGTGAATGTAGCAACCTCACTAGCTGATGATACGCCAAAGGAGATAAACATTATGGATACTCTGGGGTTCGATAATTATCGAATGGAGAAATCGACGGTGTATTGGCTACCTTCGATGTATCAATCTTGTGATCCGGCGCATATTAAAGAAGTTTTGATGCCATACTTTGTACTTCCTTGCAAGACTGCTGGATTCCGCATCAAAAACAAGGGATTTGATAAGAGGCGGAATCACATTACCATATGTTGTCCAAGGAGTCGTTTTTACAAACAAAGGTCCCAAAAGGACAGCAACAAAACCACCCAGACTCAGCTTCCTGTTGAGGGGGAGGGTGTCAAATGTCCATTCTCTTTCAATGTTCTATATAGCCAGGAACACAGACGATGGTATCTACCCAAGTTCCAGACAGGCAACAAGCTTCATCGTGGCCATGTACAACTAGAAGAGGCACAAGTGAAAGTGTTAAGTACTCATCTTGGCACAGAAGCCGTTACACTAGCGGAACAATGCCTAAAGAACCACCTCTCGCCAAGTGTTGTTAAGACTTTACTTTATGAACGGACAGGCTCATCTCTAACTTCGAAACAAATCGAATCTCTAAGGAAGAGTTTGCATCAAGGAGTTGTCTTGTCTTTGGTGAAGCCAGACGGTACCATCTCTCAAGTACCGCATCAGGGGGCGACAGCTGCAGACAGGCTACTTGCCCGATTGCAATCCGACCCAACAAAATCGTTCGTTGTCCTATTTGCCTCATATGACTCCGGCCTTCTTCGAATCAGACAATCACATAGGGGAGCCACACCTCAGAACATTGATCCTGAATCACTAACAGATGAATCGGACAGTGCTGAATCCTTTGCGAACAAAGTAAGAGACGCTCTATCCATCACAGGTTCTGGAATGATTTTGCTTGCACTTGCCTGGACGGGTGAAAGTTCCCAGAGATTGTTCCAAATGTATCCCGAGTTCAAGTCTGGTGATATCACCTACAAAACAAACTCCGAAAAGAGGGAATTGCACATAGAGTCTGGGATAGCTGCCGATGGGCAGTCTTTCAGCCACACATGGGCATTGTTCCCATGTGCTTCAAAGTGGATATTCCAGTGGTTCTACCGAAATGCCATGCCCCGACTTCATTCGGCAGCTTCATCCATTTCCCTCTGACGTCGTTGTGCTTCGGCTTCTGCAGCTATCTCTGCAGCAACATTACCTGCGATACCATCATATCGCTTTCACAGAGGTCCTTTCTTGAAGACATTCCACCTCCCACCGATCCATCTTCGTTTGGAGGTCTAGAATGATTGTACATGCTAGGACCAACCTTTCGGACTTTGAAGGAGTTAGCACTTTTGGCACTACTCTGTGCAACACCAGGCTCAAAGCATTGGTGACAAAATGCTGACAGTCCAGGATGGTAGATAGGATGCGTGGTGATGGATCCATCTTCGTTTCGGCGCTTCGCGGTCATCGGAATGGCTTCTTGAATACATGTAACAAAGTTGCGGGAGTGATTTGTTCGGGGAAAAAGGACCAGGATTGTCAGGGCCAAAGGGATATCTCCGTCAGATTCGTCATCCTTCTCCTCTTCTCGAGCAACGTCTTCTCCAGCGTCTTGCCCACCATCTCATCGTCAGAACCCGACATGATGCCTAAACGAAAATACTAATGAAGAAAACGAAAATATGTGAGACAACAAACACGGGTAACATGCACAATACGACCAACACAGGTAATACGTATAACACGGTACTACGTATAACACAGGTAATACATATAACACAGGTAATACGTGTTATACGTATAACACAGTTAATACGTACAACACAGTTAATATGTATAACACGGGTAACACGGGTAACACATATAACACGTATATCATGCATAACAGTGTTGCGCGCTTGGGTACTTACATGGGTTCAGTACTGGTCCCTACAGAAGTTGTTGACAATGGTGAAAATCAAGGCCAGATCTTCCACAGGCTTCGTCAGTGAGCCTTCAGAAGTATATGAATGCAAAGAGAATGGTCCTGTGAGCTGACAAAGCCTGATAAAGAGAGTGGGGCAGGAGAATGAAGAAGAGTTGAATGGAGAGAAATCCTTCTATCTTTCCACAGAAACAGTCTTCTTGGCTTCAACAAAGCCATACCACATTGCTACTTACCCACAATGATGGTACTATCTTCAAATAACAACAGAAACCTCTGTATCCTTCAAAGCAACAAGAGGAGAGAGGTTTATCTCATGGTGTGTGTTGTGGAGATTGGTGGAGATTGGTTGTTGAAGCATTTTGCGAACGGTCACTCGAACGGTCACGGTGGCTGGCTGGCGACCGTGTAATACGTGTTATACGTATTATACGGGAATACGTAGAATACGCATTGTACGTATTACATGTATTACATCGCGTGCGTTTGAGGGTCTCTCGTATACTACTGAGTACAGTACACTGTACAGTACAGAACTATTTGATTTTCTTACCCTACAAACCTTTTGGAGCTCTCGTTGTGCACTCATCATTGTGTCAGCAGCCGTACTGTTGTGGCTCAGGTCCCATGTGTCTCAGTCTGTGCCCCTTCTTCTCCTCTCTTCCAGTCGCGCGATCGCGGATGAGGTCCTGCAAGATTCCCACATCTCAATACCAGTACTGGTACCACTTGAACAGATCCATCATCGTCCGCAGCCCCCACCATCATCGTTTCGACCTACCTCACAATTCGCTCACAAAGCACAGAAACAAGAAAAAGGGCATTCAGAGACCCAACGAGTTTTGACGAACCACTCCCCACCCAACGATAGCAAAGACAATGAACAAGTTAGCAATGGCAAGCCTTGCCAGCACTAAAAGCGCCCCCACCAGCAGCAGCAGCAGCAGCAGTGGAAAAAGCATGTTTGGCACGACCAGCAGTAGCAAGAGCCCCACCAAGGAGATGAAAAAGAACAGGAAGACGGTGCGTCTCTTGTCCTCCTTGCTGTTATTGACCAACAAAAAGCACCAAAAAGGCAACTCCCAACCCGAGCATGATCTAGACCAAACCTCCACCATGATGAGCATAACCGAAGGGTTTTCAGAGACTCCGGAATTTAGTGAGACAGCTGTGTTCAGTGCTCGTGGGTTAGGTGCTGATCATGAGACTGAAGAAGCCGCCATACACAAGCGCGACATGCAAGAAGAACAAGAACAGGTTGTACAAGAAGGAGATGCCAAGCAAGAAGAAGTTGCACAAGAAGTTGCACAAGAAGTTGCACAAGAAGACGACGAAGTTACACGAGAAGAACAATGCACTGCTCGTAGCAAAGCAACCTTTGAAATTGATGTGGATGAAGTCGAGGAGGCGTTGGCTGGACTGAATACTGACAACTTGGAGGATTCGTTGCGTTTGATGTGCCTCAATGAACCTCAAGAAGAAAATGTGGAAGTAACCCCAAAGCAAGCAGAGACTCGGATGGTCCAAAAACAGGTACACAAAAAGCAACCAAGCAAGAAGCACGCAACCACCAACCAGCATGGGCGCTTTCGAGGCCACATCCTCCGGCGACTCCAGAAGCAGCTGAAGGAAGCACAAGCAACCTACAAGTCATACACCTATGGCCGGTACGGACTCCACTTTGCCATTGAGGAGGAGCAAGAGCAGCAGGAGGAGCAAGAGCAGGAGGACGACGAGGACGATGAAATGAACCAGTCGAGCACCAGCACGGTTGGTCTCTATTACTAGCTAGCTATTAGAGCAGGAAGGCCTGGTAGAACTGTTTGCTTAAAACTAAGAAGTACGATCGAAGATGCGGTTTCGGCAGCTTTCGGTACGGTACTAGTACGGCATGGCCTTCAAGCCAACGCTCGGCAAACCTGACCTGCATTGGGTATAAATTGGGAGTCTTCTTTTTCTATCATTGCGTACATACAAGTACATGTACCGGCACTTGAAGCTCTCACCACAGCTGCTCTCATTATGCATTGTGCACTCAACCTGGTGTCAGCAGCCCTGCTGTTGTCTCCCGGGTCTCAAACGCGCACATGCACAACGTACAACAGACCCATCCTTGCGATGGCGAAATTGACATGGATGAACTCCAGGACACAATGACTGGACTGGATATTGGCAAGTTGGAGGATCTGTTGTGTTTGATGGGTCTTGATGAGCCCCCCCCCCCCAAGAAGAAAGCAAAGATGAAGCCCTAATGCAAACAGAGACTCCAGAAATTCTAAAAGATGAGACTGTGAGGTCCCAAAACATGTATACAAGAAACAACCAAGCAAGAAGCAGGCAAGCACCAACCGACATGAGCACCTTCGAGATAATATCCGATGACGACTCCAGAAGCAGCTGGAAGGAACACAAGCAGCCTATACATGTCTTACACCTATGGCGTGGATGGTCTTTATTACCAGCTAGCTAGCTATATTAGAGCAGAGGCCTGGTTTCGTGGCTATAACTCTCAAGAAGAAGAATACATGCGACGTGCGTAGATTGATTGGAAGTGTATTCTTTAGGCAGCGCGGCACAGCCAGGAAAAGTTTTTGTGGCGCTGGGACAATCGTTGCGCTCGGCCGAGGTCCGGTGATCGGATGGAACCATCACCGGCAGAGCCATACTGGTAGATTGATTCATTCGGCCCCGAACGCGTAGTTGCGATGCTTTTCCAGTCAGGGCTGGCTTCACTGCCTGTGTTCTCTGCGACCAGCTTCTGTTCCGTGTGAGATCCCTGTGCAGCTAGTGACTTTTGACGCTTGTTCGCCTCCTCGGTTCCTTTCCCCGCATGAGAAGCCTTCTGCTGGAGAGAAGCCTTCTGCTGGCTTGCAACCTCAAGTGCAACGGCGGTTTAGAGTAGGGAAATTGTCTACAGAAACCATGCAGTCGGGGTCAGGCTCAAGTAGTTCGCACAATGCGAACGACTTTTGTCGACCACGCAACCAGGCAATGCGGATACAGTCTTATCGCTCATAAACTTGGCATCACACAGCAGAAGTTGTATGGCAGCAAAAGGGAAGGCAAGGAAACGATCGTCGATACCTCCACTACGCCACATTCCGATCTCAAACAACCATGGTGATCTTGGCTGAGGAAGTACAGATGCATGTGATGGAGGAACAAGAGATCGCTGTACCTGGTCCAGACTCTGCTCCTCTTGATTCTTCCGTGAGGGAGGCTCCTGCTGATCCTTTTCGATCGGAATTGTTGCTATCCACCAGGACCTCTTTGGCTGATCCTGATGATCCCAGGTATGTCAGGGCCAATACTATGGAGATTACAATGATGGCAGATGGCAACAATGCACCAGCTAATGCAGGCAGCGACAACGACAGTTCCATGGATGACCCATGGAATGACCCAAAGGATGCAAATGTGGGTGACTTGAGTGAGTCTCCCAGCAACTTTGATTTCTCCCTTAACAGTGCTGATTTGGAACGACATATCCGGAACAGTGCGGTGCAGAGCGTTGCGTTCGAGTATGTATACAGCAATGCCTACGACATTGTTTACAGCATCTGTACCTGGCCCAGGCTCCTCCTGAGCTATTGCTTGAATTTGTTTCGCTTTGCCAGAAAGAAGGATGATGATGGACCAGCGCCACCACAGGAGGATAATCATGTTCAAGACATGGCAATTGCGGCTTCCCAATCAGCAGTCATCGGCGTAGGAGCAGGAGTCCTGGCTGGTCAGTCGGCTGCTGCTGGAGTCGGGGTTTCGACGATGTCGGCTGCCATCTCTGCTCTTTCGACACCTACTATGATTGGGCTTGCTGTGGCAGTTGCCATTGCAGTGGCTGCTACTACGACTGGTGTTGCTACAGGAATCAGTAGTGGTAGTGACAACAATGCGGCTGGTCCTGGCCCCTGTGCTGGTAGTAGTGGATCCATGGATGTCAAGCAAGGTGTCTTGCAAATAGTCTTTTCTTCATCAGACTCTAACAGTGATCATAACAGTATCATTGATGCTCCCTTGACAAGTACATTGCTGCTAGAGAACAAGGAAGAATTGGAAAACATTTTTGTACAGGTTTACAACAACGTCACTGCCAATTCCACCAACGGTGCCCTCATTGATCAGTGTGATATTCCCCGTATCCCATCAGGTGGTGTCCAGCTGATGCAGGTTGAGTCGTCTGAGGAGGACAATTTTACGAATTCCTTTTGGGTTGCTGATGTTCAGTGCAATGGATGCTCCGACACGGACCCACTTTTTGGAACCAACACCGAAGCGAGTCCCCAACTTGATCCTGTGAGGGCTGTTGATGATTTTTTCGACCAGTTTACTCAAGCAATACAGCCCATTCTGACTACCAATGATCTAACACAAGAAACTGATCCAATAACCAGCCCACTGCAGCAGGAACAAGAAAGTCCACCCGTAGACATTTTGTTTGTGGCTCTGGTGGATCCCACGACAGGAGAGATACTCCCAGAACAGCCACAACGGCTGGGGCCTGGTGATATGATTGAGCTATTGCCCAACATTGATACTGTTTGGAATAGTAACATTAATGATCCCGAACAAGATCAACTAGAAGTTCCACAGATGCCAACTCCTTCAGCAACAACAGCTGCTGCTCCAATAGCCCATGCTGATAGAGTGTCAAACCCTACAACAAACCCTCAAACAAACAGCCTCATACAGCAAGATTTAGCTCCCAACTATCCCGGACAAGATTCTGTACCCACAAATCCTGCACATGCCGCGCCTACAAATGCCAAAACCCCAGAGCCAAGTCCCACTCTAGCGCCAGCAAGTACTCCCGAACAACAAGACCAAACGTCTATTTTCCCCCACCTAGCACCATCAGCTATATCAAGTCCCAGTGACGCAACTGCAAATAGCCTGCCTTCTTTTGTGATTGTCTCACCTAGTCAGACAGCGGCAGGACCACCATCAATGGTTATTCCAACTGTTGCTTCTGGCCCAACAAGTCCTGGCCCCACCAATTATTTAAGCAGAATTCCCAGTATCAACACATTTCCACCGGCAGCAATGAGTCCATCACATTCCTCAGCCAACAGGGACCAAGCTCCAAGCAATGATAAGCAAGCACCTCAGCCTAACAATCAGAAAAGCGCACTACCGCCCATTGCAACAATAAAGAATCCCAATCCGTCCTTTGTGATACCAGCCCCTCCACCAGCTGGCAGTGGAAACAATGGTATCACTCAATCGATTGATGGTCAACCAATGATGCCTTCTGGAGATGACAGCATGCCTTCTAGCAGCACAACGAAGAGTCCCTCACAAGAAGATACCACCACACCAGGTGTCCCCCTTTCTGAAGTGCCTAACAACCCTGTTCTGGTGCCTGTTGGTGGCTCTGTAACTTCTGAAACCTATTCAGCTGTGCCATCAACAAATACGATGCCTCCAACAAGAGACATGCTTTCACCAGAGTCATGTGCTGGTATGCAGATGTTTGCTGCGCATTCATCACCAGTAGCTTGTAGCAACATGAATGGAGGCAGTTACAGTGGAGCATTGGCTGTGTCATCCAAGATGGGATCTTCCTACCCAACTACAATCCCTGCAACGTCTTCTCCTACCCCTAAGCCTACCTTTGAACCAACACCAGTTAGCCAATCAGATTCATTGGCTGTGCCATCCAATACGGGCTCTATATACCCAACTGCAATCCCCGCAACAAATCCCCCTACACCTCACCCTACCTTTGAACCAACGGATAAAGCAACCTTGTCACCCTCGGATCAGCCAACAGACAACCCCACCAGTATCCCTAGCCATGAACTCTTATCTCCCACTGAAACTCCGACGACCAGCCCAACTTTGGAACCTACAAGTCTCCCAACAAACAATCCGACCCCCAAAGTCACCAGTCAGCCCATTGAAAACCCAACTCCAGGCTCAAGCGGCAGTCCATTAGTGCAGGAGGACTACTTTGTCACCTTCAGTGGGCCTATCTCTGGTTGGACAGACAAGGAAATGATGGATGCATTCGTGGAGGCGTACGGCTCCCTGCCTGGCTCTGATTCCACGATTGATGCGATACAGGTCGGTCAACCAGTCAGCACTGACGGCGGCTTCTACCTCGAGTTCACAGTGACCTCCAGGCCCGGTGCCTTGGACGAGGCACTTAAATCCTCTGAGGCCTTGTTTCTCCAGGAGTACAATGAGGAGATCCAAAATACCGGGACTGTTGCCTTGTCTCTGAGTATGGAGCCCCCGGGGGGTGGTGCATCAGTGCAGGAGGACTACTTTGTCACCTTCAGTGGGCCGATCACCGGTTGGACAGACCAAGAGATGATGGATGCATTCGTGGAGGCGTACGGGTCCCTGCCTGGCTCCGATTCCACGATTGATTCGATACAGGCCGGTCAACCAGTCAGCACTGACGGCGGCTTCTACCTCGAGTTCACAGTGACCTCCAGTCCCGGTGCCTTGGACGAGGACCTTACATCCTCTGAGGCCTTGTTTCTCCAGGAGTACAATGAGGAGATCCAAAACACCGGGACTGTTGCCTTGTCTTTGAGTATGGAGTCCCCGAGCAGCAGCCCATCGGTGCAGGAGGACTACTTTGTCACCTTCATTGGGCCTATCTCTGGTTGGACAAACCAGGAAATGATGGATGCATTTGTGGTTGCGTACAACTCCCTTCCAGGCTCTCTGTCATCGATTGAAAGCATAGAGGTTGGAGAACCTGTTCTAACTTCTGGTGGAAGTTTCTATGTGGAGTTCATTGTGACCTCTAGACCAGATGCATTGGATGAAGATCTTACCAACTTTGTTGAAGAGTTTTTGGAGCGGTTCAATGTGGAGATCAACACTGAGGCTATTGCTGAGTCCATATCCCTTTCTTCATCTTTCGACCCTCAGATTCGTTATTCGCCATCTGCAGTCCCCAGTGTGCAACCAAGCACTTTACCAAGTGTCAGCCCCAGCAACAGCCAGGCTCCATCAACTTCACCCACTTCCCAACCCAGCTCTTTTCCCAGTACTAGTCCCAGCTATACTCCATCAAAAGCCCCTAGTTCCCTACCATCATCAACCCCATCATCATTGCCATCCACAATTCCAAGTTTGGGTCCATCAACAAAGCCCTCAGCATCCTCTGCGCCCTCATCAAGTCCATCTTCATTGCCATCTTTGAATCCAAGCTCTGTTCCATCCTCCATTCCATCTCATTCTGCTGGACCATCTACATTTCCCAGTACTGGCCCATCGATTGTGCCATCGGGTTCTCCATCATCAAGTCCATCAGTATCATTGCAACCATCTGTTCGTCCATCAGATGCTCCATCTTCAAATCCTAGTCTTGGTCCATCCAATGTACCTTCCAAAAACCCAAGCTCCAGTCCTTCCGGTTTGCCATCCTTCAAGCCTAGTGTTGGTCCCTCTTATGTGCCTTCCACAAGCCCAAGCAACCATCCGTCAATTGATCCTTCTCAAAATCCAACTGACTATCCATCATTTGATCCTTCTGCTATCCCAAGCATCAGTCCATCTCTTGTCCCATCATCAAGTCCTAGCATTGCTCCATCCAATCTTCCCTCCACCGACCCAAGTCAAAGTCCAACATCTGTGCCTTCCATACTGCCATCATTTATGCCAACAACCTCTCCATCTGAATCACCAACAAAGCACCCCACCCATCCACCAACACTACAACCTACAAATCAACCAACACCAGCACCTACCAAAGCCCCCACTGCACCCCCAACTAAACCCCCCACTAGCACTCCAAGCAAAGCTCCGTCCGAGGCACCTTCACAGTCACCCACCACAGCAGCGGCACCTTCACGGTCACCCACCACAGCTCCCACAAATCTACCATCACCTGTCCCTTCTGCTACTCCAACTATTGGTAAGGTATTTGACACAACTCTGATCCAGTTTAGGGTGTTTCGTGTAGCTCACAAGAAATCTTCATTGCTCTCGTGCAATGGAAGTATTTGGGGACAAGAGTTCATTGATTGCAGCCCTAGAAAATGGGGACTACTCACCCACAGGTCCCTATGGTAAGCAATTTTTTCCTGCAATGTTCCATCTCATTGTCGCCTCTGCCTTACCACATTTGCTTTTGTGCACCATCACAAAATAGGATCCATTTTGTCATGGAATGTGCAGGCAGTTGATAACTTTGGTATGCTTAGAGCTTAGGTTGGAATCTATTCTCGCATTTTCTGATGACTCACATTACCTGTGAACTTGTTGTGCTTTCAGATTCCTTGATCTCTGGTCTGTCTCATGTGGCAACATTTAATGGGGATGTCAGCATGTGGGATGTTAGTGGAGTAACTTCCATGCACTCAGTCTTCAAGGGTAAGTAAAGTCATTCTGCCCATCCCTTGTGAGAAGCCTTGCTGCTAGCTAACACTATGGTTTCATGAAAGGTGCTGCTGCTTTCAATGTGCCACTGAACAATTGGGTGGTATCTAGTGTGAAGAGCTTGTATCTTGCCTTTGATGGTGCCAGTGCCTTCAACAGCGATTTGAATTCTTGGGGTAGGTTCAAACATGACAAAGAATTTCATTTGCAAATTGAATCTGAGCCATTTTTAATTTCTTCAACGGCCATTTAATTTAGATACAAGCAGTGTCACAACTCTCGCAGGTCCCTTCAGGTATGCAACATCCTTCAATGGTGACATAAGCACCTGGGGTAAGTCTATTTTCGTGGATGAAAAGTTCATCAAATGTTGTATTTCTGATTCATGTCCCCCCTCTACATTGCAGATACAAGCGGAGTTATAAGCCTTCTCAATTTGTGTCAAGGGTGCAGCTCTTTCAACCGAGATGTTAGTTCATGGGGTAAGTTCATCACTGTCAATCAATAGCATTCAATAATTGTCAATGTGGCATCCATTCTGACTTTTTGGCTTCCACCATTATTTGTAACCGCATTAGATACAAGCAGTGTCACAAATTTCCAGGGAATTTTTGCGGACTGCACTGTATTTAAGTGGTTGGGGTAAGTCCATCTCTTCTTTTGTATTCTATTTCTCAAAAGAGATCCAACCAACCTTATTATGGTTTTCTTTTCCCAATTTACCTTGACAGATGTCAGCAAGGTGGCTCAAATGGATGTAGCCTTTGGTTCATGTTTAGCTTTCAATATTGACCTATCTAGCTGGTAGGTTTCTTGATTGATTGATGTCCAGTTAGTTGTCATAGCTATATGTTGTGAGACCCATTGTCGCGATGAGAGACTCATTGGCACTTCTTTCCTTTTTGCATGTTCTGCGCATGTAGGGACATTTCCACTGTATGGGACTATCGCTGGATGTTCCAAGGTGCTTCTAGCTTTAACCAGGATCTGTGTGCTTGGGGTACGAAAGTAGCCACCAGTATTTCTTCCAGTGCCATGTTTTCAGGTACTGCTTGTCCTACTACAGGAAGCCCAGACTTGACAGTATCACCCAAAGGTCCCTTCTGTCATTTTTGTCCGTAAAGTAAAGAATCTATCTACTGATCATGAAAGAGGGTGGTTGCATGGATGCCGGCGCCATGGCTGTTTATTGGCGGATGAAGACCTGTGGAGGTGGCTCGGGTTATTTCACCTACGGCTGGCTGGACCACTCCAGTAGTAAGCCAGCAGAAAGGTATAAAATCTTTTAGTCGGAGGCAGGCAACCTTGCTCGGGGACCAGCCTACCGGAGCTGAAAAAAGTGTGGGCAATGGAAACTACGGTGCGGTATAATCGAGCAATCGCTCGTACTTTACGTATCTCCTTGATCGAAGAATGGATGTTTTAATTAATTAATAAATGTAAAGTTCCAGTGCAGTGGTGGCTGGTTGCGATCGAGCAGCAGTTCTTTCCTGGAGTGAAGAGTGAGGTCGGAGGAGGGCAGGCAGAAGGTTTGTGGTTGTACTATTTGAAAGGACGAATATTTTGCGATAGATAAGTTGTGCCTTGTTGCTGTTTTCGTGAACCTGATACCGTTCTCAGAGATGTAAAAGGTAGCTACTGCAGCTGATGAGTGGAACCCAGATCTCAGATGGCTCAAAAGATTTGGCGGAACCGGTCAAACATCGCGCTGATACAGTTATCGATAGTTGACTGCAGTCTATTCAATTAGTCTACTGTAGTTCCTGTAGTTATCTAACTTTGGCCTGATTTGCGTTTGGACTTATTGGTGTTGGATGAATTTTGCGGACGTTTTACGGCAACCCTGCACAGTCCCGCCATGGCCATCTTTGGGGCCGTCTCATTTTTTCTGGTGTTGCCTTTTAAATAGTATAACCATTTGTTTGAGTATCCAATTTAACTATTTAAATTGAGGACTTTGTATAGGTTTTTATTGGATGAAGATGATTGAATTTGCATCCGAAAAGAATAAAAGTAAGACTAGATGCCAAGCGTCGGACACGCTTCAACACGCGACGGCTCGAGTGACACACACGCAAGACACCAAGATACCGGCGCCATAAAAATTCTTTCGCATTTGTTGTGTTCCTTCCAAGACAAAGCAAGTCTCAGCCATTCCAGTGAAAGCCAAGCCAAGCAAAAACCAACGATACCTCGCATCTCCTCAACCAGCAAGCAGTTAATAACACAACCCAAGCAACCTTCCTGGACTGGACTGATCACACTATACGATCGTGCTGTATCGATTGAAGGAAAAAGGAAGACACACAAGAGATTTGATTTGGGTATACAACAAGCATCATGAACTCTAACACTACCACTAGCAAGGGAAAGGATGAAGGAGACCAAGCGTTTCTGGATGTATGGGACAATGTGGAGGGTGAAGTTGACGTGGATGATTTGATAGAGGAACAACAGACACAAAAGGAAAAAGAACATCCATCCAATGATGATGATGCTACCAATAGTGGTGGTAAGGCCACTTTGACCGTTGTTGCCATGACTAATGGTGCTGCTGCTGCCACTGGTGCTCTGGCTGCGACTCCTGAGAAACCAACCAAAGACCAGCAGCAGCAAGCCCTGGAAGCTTCGACTCCTCTGACGGAAGCCACGTCTTCCCATTATTATGACGTGGGAGTCGAAGACTTAGATGAAGACTTAGAAGACAATGAAGACAACCAACAAAAGAAACAACAGCTCAATGTCCACGTCGAAACGGACGACGAATACGACGACTACGAAGCTGACGGTCCGAATGGTCGTTCCAGTTACTTTATGCAAAACACCATTCCCGGTTCAAGCAGTAACAACAATGACACCAACCAACAACAGCACAATGCATGGACCCGCTGCGTCTTGCACCTTCATCGCATCATTACCAAATTGCTCCTTTGCATTTCCCACGTCGCCATTCACTATCCCCGCATTACCGTCATTGCCCTGTCGGGGGTCAGCATTGGACTGCTCGCCGCGGGCATCTTTACCAATTTTACTGTCGAAAATGACAATCACGATCTCTGGCCACCCGTCGAATCCCTCAGTGTCACCCAAACCGAATGGCTCTATCAAGAATCGCGCTTTAATTACAATCCCGTTCTCATGGATGTCCTCTTGCACAAAAAGGGCGCCAATGTGCTGGGGCAAGAAGGACCCCAACGGGTCTTTGATATTGTCGACAAATTCACATCGCAATCTGGATACAAACAGGGATGTGCTTGGGCGGAACGATTTGGGCATTTGTATTGGGTCGGTCAGTGTCATATTGATAGTGTCGCCGATTTTTGGTTGGAACGACAAGCCATTTTTGATGCCCAAGTACAGACGGATAAAGATGCTATTCGGCAAATGTCCCAACTCTACTATCCCGGACCGACTACCGCCGCATATCCCGATGGTGTCCCCGTCGATGTCCCGGCCATTTTGGGAAATACTGTAAGGGACGCCAATGGCACATTGACGTCGGCCGATTCCTACTTGATTCAATTTGCCATTCCTTGGTCCAACGTGACGCTGGCATTTGAACGAGAAGCCATTACGCGCATGTTGCAACTGCGGGACGACTATGCGGCGGTCGAAGACACAGAAGGATGGGTTATGGAATTCCGTTCCTTTAGTTCCTATGCGGATGAATTCAATCGAGCCATTATTGCCGATCTCTGGTTGATTCCTGTCGCGGCTGTTATTGTGGCCGCATTCACCGTACTCTTTGCCTTTGGCAAGTGTCACAAAGTGTACTCCAGAGGATTGCTGGGGGTTGGAGCCGTATTGACTATTGTCGCATCTCTCATGACTACGTTTGGGATTCTCTTCATTTGTGGGGTTCCATTTACCGCCCAAACCATCATGGTGCCCTTTCTCATGTTTGGAATTGGATTGGATGATGTAAGTACTTCAAACAGGAATCGAATCGAATCGTATCGAATTGTATCGAATGGAATGATTGAATTGATCATTCGTCTCACGACCTTTCGTGTTGGTTCGTTGTATCGATATCGATATAATAGGCATTCATCATCTATGGCAGTTACAATCGCAAGGATCCAAACAAGGATATCCCAACGCGCATCAAATCAACCTTCAAAGATGTCGGAATCAGTATCTTTCTTACATCTCTCACTTCCATGCTCGCATTCGTATTGGGGACCTTCTCCTCTATTCCCGCCGTCCGATGGCTCTGTCTCTACGCATTTCCAGGTAAGCAATCGAGTCGAGTCCAGTCGCATTCACATAAGAATACATGCATTCCCTGTCACGTCCAAGCAGCATGCCCCTCACACAGGTCGCGTTCTCTTCTTCTCCTCCTGCAGCCGTTGGAATCGATTTCTTTTACCAAATTACCTTCTTTGTCGCGTTGATCGTCCTCGATGAAAAACGAATCCAAGCCAATCGCATGGACTACTGCACCTGCTTCACAGTCCCACAAGATGATGATGACGACGACGACCATAAAAAGAACAACAACCAGCAAGATGAAAACAATGGCGGCGAGCTCGTGGAAGAAGCACAGCAGCAGCATGAAGATGAACCCACAACAACAACAACCGCCCCGCAACAAACACACATTGCCGATCGACTCATGGGATGGTGGTCCAACCAGTTGCTCAAACCGGCTGTCCAAACGATAGCCATGCTGGCCTTTTTGGGTCTTTCCGCTGCGTCCATATACTTTGCCACCAAACTCGATCAGGAGTTTGACTTTACAGCTCTTGTTCCCGCGGATTCGTACCTTAAGGAATACTACGATTCCCTCGATGACTACACGAAAGTCACCGGTATGATGACGCAGGCGTACTTTAAAGATGTCGATCAAGGTGATCGAAACATCCAGAAACAAATGGTGCAGTACATTGACGAGCTGGTCGCCACCGGTGAAGTGGCCGAACCCGCCTACTTTTGGCTGCGGGACTTTACACTGTATTCGAACCAGCAGTACAGCGAGTCCAATGGCACCTTCCCGAGTATGAACTTTGATCAACAAATCAATGAGTTCCTCAAAGACCCCATTTACTACGAACTCTACGACGAAGACATTGGACGTAGTCGCCAACGGACGGTCCAGGAGACTCGCGTGAACCTTCGCATGCTAGTGGACGCCAAGGATTCCAAGGCTTCCGTGGACATGTTGTCCGCCGTGCGAGAAGTCTCGGGCGCTCAACCTATCAATCAAGGAATCGACGATTGGAAGTTCTTCACCTATTCCGGCGAGTATCACGTTTACGAGTTCTACCGAGAAGTTGTGGAAGAGCTCGTGTTCACCAGTTTGATGGGAGTCTTGTCGGTCAACTTGATTGCTCTCTTCTTCATCCCACATTGGACCGCTGTTCTGTTCATTTTCCCATTCATCTCGCTTCTCTACATCAATATGCTGGGGTTCCTCTACATTTCGGGAGTCCAGATCAATGCCATTAGCTACATTACACTCGTCATGTCGATTGGTCTCATGGTCGATTACATCATGCACATTCTGATGCGATACTACGATTCCAAAGGCACACGGGAGGAACGGGTGAGAGAAACAATGTCCAGCATGGGGGCTTCCATCTTTTTGGGTGCTGCCTCGACGTTCCTGGGTATCATGGCACTCGCGTTGAGTACCAGCGATATTCTTCAAAATATCTTTGTGTCGGTCGTGGGCCTGATCTCCTTTGGTGTTGTGAATGGGCTAATCTTCCTTCCCGTCGTTCTTTCCTTGGTGGGCCCGCAATAATGATGAGACCGCTACCGCAGGATAGATGGGTGTGTGGATAGCTAAATTCGATCTGAAAAGATCTTTGGGCGTGTAACCTATTATTAGAACCAATGCATGAAGAGATACGCGATGAGTGCTAACGTAGTCGACTCGTTGGTATCTGAGACCTTTCCGCAGCAGGTTGCGGACCCAACTTAAGGCCTGTTCCTCCTCTTGCTTCTAAAACCTACCGGTAGCTATTGAGTTTTCTGGGCCGCTTTCGCAACAATCGGAACTGTCTTTTCACGTTGCTGCAAGACAATCCTGCGCTATGTCAAACTGGATTTTTGGATGAAAGGTAAGACTCATCCTAAAGGCTGGACATCATCTCTCTCAATTGACAAAAGATCTTTTGGTTGGGATCGCAATGGCGTTGATGGCGGGTGCCCTGCGCCTTCTTTTGCTCTTCTTGGGGATGTTCTTCTTGTTCCCCCTATATTTGCGTCTGCTGCAATTCATGGATTGTTTTGTGGAACTGTGGTCTTGCCCTGAGCACTCGGGCTTCGGTCTCTGACACGGTACCCACTTCTTGGGTTGGGACTGGTGATCGTATAATGGCATGGTGCCAATACTATACTGAGATAAATGTGGAGCTGTGGTCTTGCCCTGAGCACCCAGGCTTGGCTCTGACACGGAACCCACTTCTTGGGTTGGGAATGGAATGATGATTACATGTATGATGACATAATGGTGCCGGTACTACTGCGGGGCGACGTTCGTCTATCCTTCGTGGAACTGTTTAGCGGCAAAACATAAATGTTCTAGATTTGATTTACAAGTATGATAAATGACTCGAGACGTTCTTCCTGTCGGTACTGTACTATACGGTGCCTTTCCTTTACGAGTTGTGATTCTGATTCAGCCCGTACATTGCTCTTGTCATGGTCAGGTTGCCATCAGCTAGCACTCGAGATGGCCAGGTCAGGGGTGCGTCAAGATAAAGATCCAGGAGACCCTGACCGAACCTTCCTGCCCTAAACCCGGCAAGTGTTCGAGAGATGACGCAACAGCGCAAGAGGGGAATACAAGCCTGCTTTTGCCTCGACGATCGATGATAAGACCAAAAAGCTCAAGAAGGAGTGAATCTCAGGCACGAGCACAACGAAACGGCGAGTGAACGAGCGAGGACTTGCATGGATGCGCAATGTATACAGGAGTTGGCGTGAGATCATCTTTGGTCCGTCGCGAGGATGACGTGTCAAAGTCTGATGAAAATGTTGCGGAAACTCGAAGTAGCAATCCACAACGGTAAATTTTCAAAAGATACGTTTATCATTATTGTCGTGTGCAACCGTGTGCATCTTTCCTGTGCTACCGTTCGCCATCCAGCCAGCCAGCCAACCAACCACTTCCATCAAAGCTCCTCCACATCTAAAATCCAATCTACCATCCTTCTTTTAAAATTAATAAGGACAATGTCCATAATAGACGGGATACGGGACGACATCCCGCACCGACGCGGCATTGGTCAAGAACATGACAAGTCGATCAAATCCCATGCCCCATCCACCATGAGGGGCCGTGCCGTCCTTGCGCAAATCGACAAACCATTGGAGCGGTTTCATATCCATTCCCTTCTTGGCCATCATATCCGCTAGAACATCGTACCGCCATTCGCGCATGGATCCACCAAAGAGTTCTCCCACGAGGGGTGCCAGCAAATCAAACGATTCGCACGTGCCGTCTCCGACGACTTGTTTCATGTAAAAACTTTTAATAGCCGATGGCCAGTGCGTGACAAAGACAAAGGTTCCAAATTTTTGCACCAGGTACTTTTCATGCTCACTGCCGAGATCTTCTCCCTGTTTCGGCATGACTTTGAATTTGAGCTTGACTTGTTTGCCCTGCTCGTTGGTGACTTGGACCTTGTCGCGAACATCTTGTAACATGGCATCAATGGCGTCTTTGTGGGAAATGCGGACAAATGGTTTATCCAATAAAGTTCTCAAATAAGTAGCATGCCCGTGAAATTCATCCGGCGATGCATGTTTCTGACTGAGAAAATGATATTGCGGTTGGCATCGATCCAATACTGTCGCGACAACGTGTTTGACAAAGCGTTCGGCTTGATCGACGAGGTCGTCCAACGTAATAAAGTATTGTTCGTATTCGACGTGCAAGAATTCGGCGAGATGCTTGTTGGTGTCGGATTTTTCGGCTCGAAATGATTTTTGGCAAGTATAGACACTTCCCGTGCCCATGGCAATGGCTTCGAGTGGAAGCTGGGAACTGACGGTCAAACCAACTTCGGGGCCCTTTTCGGGTTCGGTGGGTGGTGTTTCTTCTTCTTCTTCTTCTTCTTTGGGTGGTTCTTCTTGTTCTTCTTCTGCCTGTTGTTTGCCCTTTTTCTTTTTGTTTTTTTTCTTTTTGGGTTCTTCTTCGGGCAATTTGGTAAACATTTGGGGCGCAATCTTGAATACTTCTCCCGCACCTTCGCAATCATTGGCCGTCATAATGTTGGGATCCAAGAGCGGGACTCCTTCGTTGTGAAAGAATTCGTGTACGGCAAAGAGAGCTTGTGCTCGAATTTGCATCAATTGTTGAATCAGTGGTGCGCGGAATCGTGCATGAGGATGACTGCGCATGGCCAATGGTTTCTTGTAAATGGACTTTTGAATGGGATATTTCGCCGCATCTTCCACACCGCCCATGACAAAGAGTTCCAGCACTTTGACTTCCAATGTTTGTGTCGTGCCTTCCGGCGGTGCTGCTACATAGCCAATAATCATGACGGAACATCCCAACGAGAGATTGGACGTTTCACAGAGTTCCTCAAAACTCAGACGGGAATAACACGCTTCGTCCGTATTGGCGTTTACGAGTAACGAGGCAGAATCCTTGGTCTTATAATAGGCAGTAGTAGCATTGTCCGCGCCTTGTTCGTCACTCACTTTGGCGGCCAAACAACGGACCGGAGTCACCGTCGTTCCATCGCCAAGATCCACAAAGCACAGAGTACCCGCTCCCTGTGTACGGACTGAATAGACCCAGCCATGCAACTTGACGTGTTTGCCAATGTCAGCTTCACTCAAGTTGACCAGTTTGGCCATGCGTTCCACTTTGGGTCCTTCTTCTTTTTCTTCTGTCATGGTGTTTTAGCTAGCTAGCTACCGTAGTATCCTTCAGGTATGCAAACAATAAGCAATGATGAGATTGAGATTGAGATGCTACCCAACTAAATGATAGAAAAATGAGACACGGTGCTCTTCTCATCACTGTGGGTTCCACGAAACGTGCGGCCATGGCAATGCAGAATTTTGCAAAGCAATGATGCAAGCAAGCTGTTGAAGGCCAGACCAAAAGATTCGATCATGGTTCAACCTGGGACTGAAGCACCGGACCAACGGTGGATCCTTTTTCTCACTCTTGATAGCTAGCTAGCTAGCAGGTTTCTCCAAATCGTTATTGTGGGATAGCTCTCACATCTTATTCATACTCTAGCTAGTTTATGTTCTAAATGAATGAAGGCACCCAGACACCCCAGCCAACCATTCTACATGTACTGTACTCATAGGAAACAAAAGCGAGTTGTGATCATGTCTGTAAAGTTGGGCCGTGCCACTGGGGGACATGAGTATTTGTCATCTTGAGAGAACGAGGGCATGCATTGTTGGAGGCATTCCAGAGTACAGTATCATTGTTGGACATAGAGGAGCAAAGTGGAGCTGCAAGAATTTATATATTTGGTCTCAACAAAAGGGGGCGTAAAAAAAAATTGCCTGGGACGGTACCCACCATGGACTGTGGCAACCTTGTTGCCCACGGTCTGTCATGTCTGCCTGTCGGCCATCCATCAGGGGCTGTTCCCTTGCTCAATAATGCATCCACCGTGCTGGTACCAGTACTGTACCGTAGCAGATTGCAACATACTCGATGTTCGCCTCCGCAGTTCTGTACGTCATTCCGTTAGTAATGTTATTGGCAGGACTGCTCGATGGCGTGTGCCGTGACATGGAGAATGGGATCCCAAATCAGAGGGGAGTAACACATGTGTGTGCAATCGACCCCCTTTCGTCGGGAATAAAAGGCATGGGCATCCTCCAGAATGGAAGTAAAATCCAATGTGGGAATGCTTCGACTCGCATTGAATAATTCATTTTGGATCCGCGCCAACGCCTTGTCACTGGGATGCGTCCACGTTCGATTGAGTGCCACACATCCATAGGGTCCATAATCTTTGAGTCGGTCGCCCCATTCTCCTCCGCCCGTTTTGGAAGCAAAGTGTTGTGGCAGTGTCCGCCTCCACAGCAGACAAATCTGGTTGTTGTTATTGTCATTGCCCGTACTAGTAGTAGAACGACGACGCCGATTGTTGTTTTCCTGTTGGACGAGTTCTTGGACGTGTTTGTATTGACGATAGTGATATTCCGGCATGGGCCAATGATGCAGGCCAAAATTGGAAATGAGGATATGGACTTTTTGGAGGACTGCCTTGAGGGTGATGTCGCGAAGATGGTATCCCGAATCTGGTTCATTAAACTTCCATTCGGATCGGTCGACATCTTCCAATCGATACAGTTCCCGGAGCGTGACGGTCGTGTCCGTCGAGGGGACATGGTACGATTGCTCCAAATGATTGTCTCGGGTAGTATATTGGAAGGGTATCTGAAGGGCCCGCATGGCCATTCCCACGGCCGCAAAACTTTGCAATGTTAACGAGTCTCCCAAGAACAGAACCGTCTTGTGGCGTGTGGCCTGAAGGAATGAGTGCACGGCTGAGGTGGTATCCACTCCAGGACAAAAGGTTGCTTGCAGATAGTCGGTTCCTTTTTGGGAACAACATCCGTGCATGCCTTCGTACGGAGGCAACAGTGGCCGTTTCTTGCATCCAAATGCTTGGTGTTTCCGATCCAATGCAGCTGCTAGGGATGCATTTTGTACCCAGTTTCCTCGGAACGAAAATGTATTGGTGGTGTCATCTCGTTCCACAGCGCATTGCGTCTTCGTGATGGCTTTTTGTTGTTGTTGTTGTCCTGCAGGATCACTGGGCTTTTGAGTTGGACTATGAGTTGGTGCCGGTGTGGCTTGGCGTATTATTTTTGGGCTGCTCACAGAGGGCCGTCTAGTGGTAGAAGCAGTTCTGGAGTGAGATGCTACTGAAGCATTCCTACTAGGCGCTGCTTTGGGTGCAGTATCCGTAAAATTCGCGTTTTTGGCAACGACAATGGTTGCTTCGCCGCCCCGGTCAACCATGGAAGATGGAAGCATCGACAAGACTGCCCCCGCCACGCACAAACCCAGCACTGCCACACGCCTCGCCACGACCGTAGAAAACACCATGGTGCTTTTTCAGTTACCGTAGTTAGTTCAATACTAAGGCTGTAAGATCCAATGGGGTGAAAGATCGATGGCACAAGATTTCTCACAAGCTATAGCGCTATAGCAATAGCAATAGCTACGCTATCCAAATGATGGCACAGACTATACCGGTACTGTATAATGCAGGTTGGCTGGCTGTCGGCAAATATGCATCAAGTTATTGGTGGGATGGTCGTCGACATCAATGGGTTTTGGCCGTTGGCTGTCTTTGGTCCTGTGGAGCATGGCTATCCGGATACTGTGGGTTGTCGCATCCCGTAGATACCAGCAACGGCGAGTGTTATGGTTAGGCTTCCAAAGATTTAATTGCATGTTGCTCTGACATCACGGGGGTGGAGTAGCTGGCATGGTCTATATTTTTAAAAAAGCCCACACAATCGCAGCTGCACAACCCCCCTTGGATGGGCTGAGAGACAGTAAGAACTATGTCCGCACTTCCACTGCCACATACATGTTTATCATAGCTTGCTGGTATCAACCCTAGCCCCCCCTACCGGTACATACAGTAGTACGCCTTCAAAAATTGTGTGCCGGCCTTTGAACAGGTTAGGGGGGTTTTAGAGTAGGGAAATTATCTACGGAAGCCAGCCAGCACCTTGGGGTAAAAAGATTGATTCTTGGAAAAAAGCTATAAACAGTTTTGTTAAAATTTACAAGATAACCAGCTGTCTTAAAGTATCAGACGATGACTCTGTCTTAAGACGGCTGTCTTATAGAGTATAAGACCGTCTTAAACATAAGACAGTCATTGTCTTAAGACGGTCATTGTCTTATACATAAGACGGCGTCTGAAACATTCAGGGGGATGTGGAGATTGTTTAGTCATTAAATTATAAAACTACTCCATCCTCCTGACACAAAAAAGACATCGTCTTAAGCATAAGACAATGACTTCTTTAAGACGGTCATCGTCTTAAGTTTAAGACGGCCATCTTTTAAGACAGAGTTATTGTCTTATGCTTTAAGACAGCTGTCTGAGTGGGACTCAACTTAAAAGATTGATTTTCTTTTTTCCAAAAAGAGTTTTTTCAATTACCTCTGTTTTACCTGGAGGTGCAGGGCCAGGTTAGATTTCTAACGTACCGTACTGTACATGTACCGGTACCGTCATTTGTGCGAAACGTGGCAACAAAACGGACGTGAAGGCGCACCTCGGCTCTCACACAGCACCGCACATGCATGGAAGCCGCCAATTTCGTGTTACAGCCTCAGCATGAGCTTTTTCGTTGCTCGTCGGTCATGGCTGGACAAGTGGACCATGATTCCATGCTCAGCCAAGAGGACGTAGCCACCGTACTGGTGGCAACAAACATATCGTCATACTAGACTGTTGTTGTGGCCCGGTGCCCGATCTTCCTCTTCCACGTAACGTATTCTGATCTGCATTACTATGATTCAAGTCCAATGGCTTCCTTGGAGTTTGAATCCAAATGTCCCTTCGCACGCCAGTCGAAGCCATTCCAGTGCGGTACCGTCTTTTGAAGCTGCAACTACAAGTACAGTACGGTGCGGTGCGGAGGAGACGACGGAGCACAATTGAGTCAAAGCGACCGTCGACGGTACTACAGGTACGACTGTACCACTACCGGTACCGGTAGGAAAAAAGAAATCTTTCCCTGAAACTCACGCCATTCGGCACGGGAGTGGGACTGAGGATTCTCTGTTTCAAAAGCTTTATGCGGAAGAAGAAAAGAATTATGGCTATTCTTGCTTCATCTGTGACTGAACCAATGCCAGAGCAAACGGTTTAGAAGTCAACTGGATGAGCACTCAAGAGCTTCTTTGGAATCCATGGCACCTTGTGACGGAGTGACAGTCCATGACGATCATCTCGCTTCACAACTAGCTAGCTAGCTAGTGAATCCACAACATTGACACGATCGATAGCATGTAGCTCACTCCAACAACACTACCAGGTATGTACTTTGGACGAAGAAAGTAGTGCCTCTCTTCGAACTGTGATGGACTTATATTACTTTGTCATGCATGAATGTCTCGATCGAAGGAACCAAAACAAGCGCCAGTTCCGCTGATGACTACTCAAGTACCAAGTAACCCCCCAATCAAAGGTGTCACGCCTCCTTCAGACGATCGGCACGCCCTTGCACCTCCTCGGACCACTGACGGTAATCGTCGGCCCTCAACTTCAAGTCAACAAGAGCAAGAGATCATTCAGAAACAGCAACTACAACAGCACTCATCATTGAAATACAGCACCCTTGCGAAAAAGAGGGGTTTGCACAAAAAGTTGGCCGCAGCACAGCCGACCGCTAAGCAGTCATTCATGGAACTAGTGATGATGTCAGAAGAAGCCGCTAGTAGAGACTCTGGAACGACGCCAAAAACAGCAACAGCAACAACAACAATACACCTCGAAGCCACTATTACCGGTACTACCGGAATATCTGCTGCTAGTGAAAAGATGCCTTCCAAACGAGGACTGCGAAATAGTAGTGGCAAGACGACGACAACAAGGACAAGCACAACGACAATGTCAATAAACCGATCTTCCGGAACTCAAAATCCCACCACCAAGGGATTGCACTGCGGAAGAATGAATATCGCAGGAGAACGCCTCCGCAATGTACAATTATTGACACAGCCTATATCAACCATTGGGGCAGTCGCAGTTCCCGGTACTCGTATCGGTGCAACAGAAGGAGAAGAAGAGATTCCTGTTCCTACTGTGCAGCAGCAAGAGGAGTACGGATTTCACAACAATGGGAATCATGATTGGTTCGAAGACGAGGAGGATGCCAGATCGAATAACAGATTACTGATAGAGGCAACGTTGGTCAAGGTGGACGAGGCTGATGACTACGACGAAGATCCACTGCTACAACCCACTCTGGCAGAAGCAACTCCCATGAATGAAGCGGAGCTATCCAGTAATTTCTTCAAGAGCCGACACGGCCGACTCCTGGTTGGTTTTGTGATGCTCCTTTTCATGGGGCTTGTCGTCGTTGCTGTTGTGGTTGGTATTGCAGCAACCAGAGGACCCGGAGAGTCTACAGCGCCTCCTTCCACCTCCACACTATCTCCTACAGAGCTGCTGGAATCCCCAACAGCACTCCAGTTGCTAGATGATTTGGATCTGCCAAGTACCACAGTAATAACCATTGCCAACCATCCCGAATCTGCGCCAAGATTGGCTTTTGAATGGCTGCTCAGCGACCCATTCCTTCCCAGTTTGACGGATGCGAAAAAGGTACAGAGGTTTGCTCTTGCTTCCTTGTACTTTGCAACGCAAGGCAGCCATTGGGATGAAAACAGTGGCTGGCTGAATCACAGAGAGAATGAGTGCTCCTGGTATTATTCTGATTCTGAACCTTGCTTTATGGAAGAAAATATTGTCACTTCCGTTGCTCTGCCTGGAAATCATCTCAATGGGACGATACCACAAGAACTCATGCTGCTGAATTCTGCAGACTTTTCCTATCTGGACCTGTCTCACAACCTGCTACTGCGTGGGAGCCTTCCAACCCAAATTGGAGTTGCTACATCTTTGAATTACATTGCACTGAGCAGTACCAATCTATCCGGATCTATTCCAAGAGAGATACAACACTTGCACAATTTAACATCTTTGGATTTGTCGCACAACTCCTTCATCGGAAGCATCCCCTTCGAGCTTGGCTTTTTGAGTTATCTGTCCCAGCTAAATTTGCGGAGCAACCGACTAACTGGCAATCTCCCAGGAGAGATATTCCTCTCGCCAGTTTTGGCCAAGTTGGACTTGTCTGGCAACCAAATTTCAGGACCAATGCCAATTGAGATGTTTTTGGCTTCAGGCCAGGGCCTGATCAACTTGAGTGAGAACCTTCTGAATGGCTCACTCCCGTCGGAGCTAGGGTTCCTTACGGACTTGGATTCCCTTGATTTGCACATGAATACTTTGACAGGCACTCTGCCAACAGAGCTTGGGTCCATGTCCCGGCTACATTACCTTGATCTAGGATCCAATTCCTTCAGGGGGTCCATACCTGACCAGGCCGCTGATCTGTGCAATTTGTGCCATCTTGACCTCTCAAATAATCAAATCACAGGATCACTACCAGCTGGCCTTGGCAACCTCTGTCATGGCATGCCAGACTTGGATACAAACAGTTCACAAACAGTTGTGTTACATGCAGATTTTGTGGATTTGTCGGAGTCAGGCACCAGCAGTCTGGTTGGCACTTTGGACCGGCAAGTAGGAAGCCTCTTTCGCACTTCGTTCCCAAACATGTCGTCTTTCAGCACACGATATGTTGACAGAGCTTGGAACCCAATTGAGTTTCACTACGAACTGCATGCGGTCTTTCTCTTAGGCTTTGAACAAGGTAAGATCCCGGCTTTTATATTTGTTGTATTGCTATGAACAATTCCTCATGGCCTGGCGTGTTGTAGGACGGAACATCCCAACACAAGTTCAGCTGATAGACACCTTGCTTGGTCACTTCTCCTATTCTGGCCAGCCTGCATCCAGCAATGCCACATCTGGAGAGCTTCACTTGTCATCTGTCACTCCAAATGGAAACCATCTGTGGCTCAACATGTCACACAACAAAATCACGGGCGTGATACCGACGGAGTTGCTTCACCCTGTGCTTCAGTTGCATAATTTGGATCTCCAATCCAACAGGATCACAGGCAGTATCCCAAGCATCATTGGGATGTCAAGGGCTTTGGAATGGATCAGTCTTGCCAATAATGGACTGGTCGGGAATATTCCCACGGAACTGACAAACATTACAGGGCTCCTTCACCTGGACTTCTCTGGCAACAAACTTTCTGGGCTTGTTCCTCGGTATCTTTGGAAAATGCCTCGTCTCGAAGAGCTGGACCTAAGCAACAACTCACTTAATGGATCAATTGCATTGGATGCTGTTCCCGTTCAAAGGCTGCAGTCACTGAGATTGGGTTCCAACAGGTTTTCCGGCTCTTTGCCCACGGAGCTGGGGTTTTTTAGCTCCGTTTGTGATATGGATGTGTCCGGCAACATGATAGTTGGGACAATCCCCTCAACACTTGGTCTCCTCTGCCACCGCTTTGTTGATCCTCTGGAGGGAGTTTCAATCCGCTTTGGGCTTGAGTTCCATGTCTCAAACTGGGAAATCAAGCTGCCAAGCCATGACGATACTACAGCATTTCTAGCGCAAGCAAAACGATTCTTCACCGAGGAGCTACAGGCAGTTTTCCCATACATCGAAGAAACCAATCTCATCTATATTCCTGCCTTTTCGCATCAATCTGATATTGATTCTATTCACGAGGACGTTCCTGATATTATTAACTTGGATCTGGTTATGAACATCAAGTTCTCACACGGTAAGAGTGTCGCTGCTGTGCACATGCAGGTATCATAAAACGTTGAACACATAGCCGGCTCACTTGCCAATGGCCATGACAGCCTCCATACCGTCACAGGAAGAATGCGAAGAAATCATGGCTGATGCAAACCTTGAGGATTTTATGGCTAGCTACCTCAATGTGCTTCAAGATGCCTGCCAAAACCCGTTGCTTTGCCCATGGGACCTGGAGTATATTCAATATGATAGCACAGCAGATCCATATGATGTCCTTCCCCCTGTTTACATGGACCTTTCCAACAATCAACTCAGTGGCTCTATCCCATCTGAATTGGCTAGGCTGAGTAGTTCCAAATCACACCTTGACCTTTTGGGAAACCGGTTTTCAGGAGCGCTACCGGAAGAGTTGTGTCCTTGGCTATGCAGCGGTAACCACAGGAGTCTCAATTTGTATGAAGACTTTAACAGCCAGAATGTTGCAGGCGGGTTGTTGAAAGTAGACTGCCAACAAATTGAGTGCTCTTGTTCATGTTAGCTCTCTCAATGGGTGATCGATACTGTGTGGGCTAGGTGGGGAGAGGAGTAATGCATGAGTCGTGTCGCGGTGTCAGAGCGGACTAAAGTGTTTGACTACTCGAAGCACGCTGTTGGGGCATTCTACCGGTGTGTTTTGTGGCATTGTAACGAGGGCTGTGAATGTTACTGTGAAAGTGGCAATGATGATGGATTTATAGATGCCTCTTCAGCAATCCTTACTCGGTTCTGCTACAGTTTGATGATGCGTGGTCTCTTAATATCTTTGGCTCTTTCTAACAGTGATTCAATAGTTCATTTGGATCTACGTGGAGGCATCCAGGAGAAGCTCCTTGGCGGGAACCTGGCTTCTTGTTGGATCTGCTGCGATCGACTTGTTTGCTACTGAGAGCGATCATGCATCTGAGGTAGTGGTTGTGCTTTGACTCCGGCCACTTCGACGGCGATGGCAGAAGCATGCTTATACGGCTTAGTTTTGTATATTTGAGTTTGATTATCAAAAAGCATCTTCCTACGTACCGTGCCCGTTCGGGTCTGCGACGGTTGGCTGCTTGCTGGTCCGCCGCTCCATTCAGTGCGAGCGATGAAAGTTGTTCGTCCCGTGTCGCCCTGCAAAGATGAGTCGAGTCGAGTCCGTATCCGTATTGTACTCATTTGCCACGTCCGATGCTCGCTGGTCCACCGCTCCATTAGTGCCTTGCACCCGGTGGTTGCAACTTCGCCCATGCTGAGGAACGCCGGTGCAGATAGTTGCGGTTCCACCATCCTAAGACTATTTCGCCGCTGGTGGCCGCCGTGAACGAGAATCGAACGAGGGACAAACCAAATCAAGACGATATCAAGATAGTGCAGCTCGAGACCCAACAAACCAATCAATTGGTGAACCTGAGAGCAACACGACGAGACAAGAGACGGCGAGACGCGATCGACTCCGCCAAACAGAAGAGCCAACGTTGTGAGAAGAATGCATGTGAACTGACCGTTTGTGAATTCACCATGCGCTGACAGAAGATTGAATTCAAGCAGCAGAAAGACCGCAGCCGACGGCTCCGCGAATGACCAATCATTCATGCACGACAAAAGGAGGAAAAGCAGGAAGGTTAGAAGACTTGTTGCAATAACAGAAGAACAATTGAAAGAATGTTGGGTGCCATTTTCCAGCGAATTGAGGGTGGGAACAAGCCGGCAAGTCAATTCCACAGGGCCCCCGAAGGAGCAGCTCCAAGGAGCAGCTCCAAGGAGCACTGGAAAATGGCACCATTGGTTCCAGGTGTGGTCGACTGGAAGGATCCCTTTCAGTTGACCCCAACTGGAATCACGCACATAGCAGATGTGATACATGCGACTCTCATGCCGGGATCATATATTATTGTTATGAGACAAAGTGGATCCGACGTGGACGTACAGCCAATTCTGAAACCACCTCGTGACATCCTCAAGTATACATAGAAAATTGGCAAGTGTTGTTCTCGGGCGCTCACAATAGTCATTCAAACCAGGGAGACGAGACACGGACTGAGACCCACATCTCGTCACGAGGCGACGAAGATACAGACTGCAGGTGGTTTGATCGTACTTCATGGATTACGCTAAAGGATTTTTAAAGGTTGTAGACAAAGTCAACGTATAACAGGAAATTTATGGGAACACGACTATGCATCTAGACACCATGGCTGACACCAGTAAAGCTCACTGTATGTGTCTGGTAAAACTCACTCCATGATCCCATTTCTCTAAGGTAGTTGCCAATGTAGGCGTCAAAGTGAGAGGCACCCATAACTTGGGATGCAGTGGAACCGGAAACATGTTGTGCATTGCTATTTCCAGCGTTGACCTTGACCAATGCCATGGACTCCAAAATAAACTTGTCAGGATTGTCTGTAGCACTGTACTTTGGAGTGATTTCAGTGAGCTGAAACTCTTTGAACATTGGTTTGAAAGTGGGGTTGTTCTGGAATTCTTGCTGAAAAAAGGAAACAAGGGTGTCAACAAGTGCACTGATTTCCTCAGTGGTAGGTTCTCGTCCTGTTTTTGCAAAAAAACGGAATAGAAACCTGGTGGCAACAGGAAGGCTCAGGGTGCTCTCGTCATCAGCAGCAGCCTCATAATCCTTCAATTTTATAGTTTCGGGAAGTCCAGCCCCAAATGATCTGGCAATGGTTGCTGTCTGAATTGTGGGAACAGTGGTTGCCGTTGAGGTGGTTGGGGCTAATGTACCTGTTGTAATTGCTGGAGTTGGGGCAGTTGTAGCCTCTGGAGTTACCACAGTAGGAGCGGGACTAGTCCTGGTTGTAGTGGGTCCAGGGGTAGTCCCCAGTTCAGTTGGGTTGGGTGTGGTTCCTGGTGTTGTTGGAACAGGTGTGGTTCCAGAAGTTGTAGGGCTCACGGTGCCGGGTGACTCTGTGGTGTTATCAGTTGCAACTGAAGGGCTGTTTGAAGCTCCAGTTGGGAAGACCGTCAAAGAGGGATTTGCTGTTCCCATCATTTTCATCCTCATCTTCATCATAGACTTGTTGGACACACCCACCATAAACTTGCTGGACATGCCAATCATTGCCTTACTGGCCATGTTCTTGCTTTTGCTTGACATACTTTTGCTTGACATGCTTTTGCTTGACATGGCCATGCTCTTGCTTGACATGGTCATGATCCTGCTAGACATACCTTTGCTCCTATCCATGGCCATCATGTTCATGTTCATGTTCATGTTCATGTTCATACCTGGGCCCATTATTGACATGGTGGAATTAGCAAAGCTCATACTCATGCCTGACGTTGCTGAAAAGAGGCGCCTGCTGCGATCTGAAGGGAGGCTGTTCCAGCTTCCTCGGCTCCTAATGGCAGTTTGGTGACCACTTCCTTGTTCTAGGATATGTCTTGGATGGATTGCACGGCGATTCAATCCTCCCCTGCGAACACGCGCTGAGACCAACACTGTAGAACACCAGGCAAGGATGGCAACGGCTCCCAACTGTAACGCTCTATAGTTGCAACGAAACATTTTTCTTTGGTTGGCAAAAGTTGCAGGCAGGTTTTGTAATATGTGGCTACAGAAGGATTGAAGCATGCAAGCAAACAAAGCTGTGGGAGGGTGTCTGGTCCAGCGCTTCCCCCGCACGGTACCGTACCGAAACTACGGGCAAACCATGTGTGACACATGGTTGGAAAGTTTTACGGTCATCGTTGAACTGTGGATGAGTCCTTTAAATCTCCTTGGGAATCAACTGTGTTTGAGTCACAAATCTTGTCTCGACCTCACATTTTGCTTCGGAATCGGTTTTTGATTTTCTTTCGGCCGATACAGTCGCAGCAAGCCTACTGGTTTGACAAAGACTGCACGATTTTGCGGTTGTACGTTGCCTTCTAGGATAGCTGTGATGTTGATACATACAGCATACGGGTCTGCATTATGACCAACTTCAAGCCCTACTGCCAGCAAAAGCACCGATAGCGCAGCTTTTGGGACTTTCGATGGCTGGTACTATCAAGGCATCTTTGCGGTGTTGGTCTTACTTCATCTCTCAACTTACGCCCTTGATCAGACTGTTGTGACTGCTGCTTTCCAGGATGAAGGGATTTATGCCGTGTTTAGTGGATGAATGAATGTGTTTCGCATCACGAGCTCGTGGTTGGTTGCCTGGGGGTCTGGGGCAAAAAACTACAAGCTGGCCTCAGTGCAACGCTGTCGGGGACAGACTAACACAAATTGAAGCAGAAGATTTCCATGCCATCTATCATAAGTGTACGTTTGAGGCACGGGTTGAAACCATCCTGGACGCAATGGACGGCGCACGTCATCTTGCCCCGACCCCCTGCTCGAAGAGGCCGGGATTAGTGTAGGTCCAGGCACAATATCAGCCAAGACCAGCCCCATAATTCAAATAGCCGCTCTTGGCAAGATAGTACTTCTACGTGGCCAGTAAAGGGTCATCTGAATGCTCTCGGAGCCCAACGAAACTGTTTTCAAAAGCCTCAGGGTCACTGTGCCCATGCAACTGCTAATGTCTACTAGGACGACACGGGACACCTCGCCAGCAAAACCCACCAGCAAAAATGAAAGATTTTGTACTTTTGCTGCTCGTCAGCAGCCGGAGAAACCTTTCGGGATGGTCTTTGGGCGACATCACCACCGAGAAGGACGCAAAATCAGGATTCCATTCGCTAGCTAGAGGATGGTTCCTTCGTTTGGTGCATGTGCACACCCTCTAGGATCGAGGAGTGGGTGGAAAGCGATTGAGGGGACAAGACAGCTCTGTGGAACTTTGAACTATCTGGGAACGCTCTTCTCCGGGAGAAGATTGATGGTCGAGCGCGACAGGAAACGCTCTGTCCGGAGAGCTTAATACACCAGCCACAAATCCCCACAGTACTACTGGACTACGGTACATCATCGTTTCATTCTACTATAGCTAGTGGCGGACTCGCAACACACGGACATGATTGATTGACTGATTGATGTTCTTGACGACGACCAGGTTTTCAGAGGACAAAAGCATCACAAATACTTGACTTGATGATGGTGCGTCGTTTCCCGCTATAATACGAGAGGTGGACATGCAATGCCCAGCCAGACATGTCCGAACGACTGGCACATTTTCTCACCATGGACCACGCAGAAGCAAAAGATCCACCAGAAACAAGAGACCACTGCATGCCTGATACCTTACTAGAGGTGACAGTAAATGTAATAATATATGCATCAACTAATGGTTACATTCCACGAGAGGACGATATTGTTCCGGTGCATTGCAATTGTTGGGTTCTTCGTTGTGGTCGGAGAGGTACGACGGTACTACTTTCGAGATGATATGATACGGTAGTCAGCTTCAAGCGTAACTACCAATCAATCAATCAATCCATCGAATGAATTCAATTATCCAGCATGACTGACGCCAATAAAGTCCACGGCATGTGTTTGATAGAATTCACTCCATCCTAGGTCTTCTTTGATATAATCCCCAATGAAGGATTCATAGTCGGAATTGCTCATGGCATTGGATGCTGCCGCACCGGACAAATTCTGGGAATTTTGTGCATTGACCTTGATCAGTGCCATGAATTCCAATGTAAAATAGTCTGGATCTTCGGCAGGATAGTACTTGGGAGTTGGTGTTTTCAACTGGAACTCTTGAAAGGAAGATGAAAATGTGGGATTGGTTTGAAATTCGTTGGTGAAAAAGGCCACGGATTCTTGTGCCACGGCACTAATTTCCTTGGTGGTGGGTGCTCGTCCCGTGTTGGGAGCAAATTCAAAGGACAACTGACTGGCCACTGGTATTGTGCGAGTATATGGATCATCAATTTCTGCTGCTGCTGTTTCCGTATTGGATGCATCATAGTCATTCAATTTGACCGTTTCCGGAAGAAGGTCCTCGGGATTGAACGATCGTCCAGCAGCGGCGGATGTTGTGGGCAATGTTGTGGCTTCGGTTGCTGCTAGAGCTCCTGCCGATGTAGGACCAGGGGTGCCAACGGCAATGCTAGGGGCTGGTGTGGTTCCTGGAGTTGTCGGGGCAGGAGTCGTTCCTGGGGTTGTCGGGGCAGGAGTAGTTGGAGCAGGTGTAGCTCCAGGAACTGTGGGGCTTGTCGTTACGGGTGATGTGGTTGGATTCCCTGGAGTCACAGTGGGGCTACCAGGTGTTACAGTAGGGGCTCCAGGGACAATGGTACTATTTCCCATCATCATCATGCGCATCCTCATCCTCATTCTCATGCGCATTCGCATCCTCATTCTCATCATGGAGCCTGACATCATGGACATGGACATTGACATCATGGACCCTGACATTGACATCATGGATTTGCTCATCATGCTGCTCTTGAGTTTTCGGTGGGATCTCGAAGATAGACTGCTCCAGCTGTCCTTGCTTTGGTGGTGATGAACCATGGTCCTTGTCGTCGTTGTTGCTGTCGACCTGTGATGATAGTAATCAAAGTCTTGACCCTTCAATCCTCCTCTTCTGGTTCGAGCTGCCACGGGGGAGACGGTACCACCCATCAACGTGACAGCCAAGATGGCAAGCAGAAAATTGAAGCGTTTCATCATTGCTACGGTAGTTCCGTTTTCGGCAAGAGATGGAGAAAACTACTTTTTGACCACTGCTGCTTGGTTCAAGCAAACTTGGAGCGCAGCAAAAAATTGTGAGAAAATCTGTTCTTCTATTCCTCCAAGTTGCAGGGAGGCATCCATCCCATCAACCTCTTGCTTCTTTTTCGCTTCCTCTCTCTTCTGTACTACATGTAGTATCCAACAGCCTCCAAGATCTTGAGAATTTTCCTTGTGTGTGGCTTTCGATCGGCGTGCTTCCGAAGGCATCAAGTCATCTTTGCTGAAACAGTACGCTTACAAGTGATTTAAGAAGCAGTCATATTTTGCAAGAATGAAGTGTTCTGAAAGTCACAAGGATCTTGTAAAAGTCATCCATGATCCAAAGTTGAACTCCAGCTCACTTTTTGGCCACTCACCGTTGCTGAACGGATACATCTGCCTCGCTGTTGGCTACCGCAAGCTAGCTAGCTGTTGATTGGGCTGTTCTGCGGGGGCAACACCAGAAGTCATCATGTCCCTTCACAGGCATTGCTGAGCCATCACGTCATCCACCATCTTTCTCCGAGATGAGATGAAATTGATGTACGATAGGGGCAGCTACACCCACGGAAGCAAGAAGAAGAGCTAGCTAATAGCATACCTGATTGGATGCCAATCAGTCAAATAGGGGCTTCTTGCGTGCTGCAAGGCATCCAGGAGCGGCTTAGATTGCTGCAGAAGTTTCTCCACGACCATTCTCTCTCTTGCTGAAGATGTAGAAGCAAATGGCATACAGCAGGTTCAGCCCAGGTAAGGATTGGATCCGTCGGCAAGTACTGTAGTGTAGTACTGGGTACTAGGCAGTACAACCGGTAGCGGTTGCCTAGTAGATAGCTACCAGGTACCGTAAAGTAGCTACGTGCGCACCTCTTTGACCGATCGCTCCGAGGGCCTCCACATGCTGGATGCCTGAGGCGCTGGCTGCAGCAGAGGTGCTTTGCTACCGGTACGGTAAAAGCACTGACTGTACTTTTTAAAAAGACTAGTCACCACTGTTGAACGCACTCTGCCAACCTTCACCAGCCTGTCCCAGCAGTAAGCTATGAAAGAAAAGCCCTTGTAGCAGCAGAGGGTCTATTTTCCCCTTGGTTCGAAGCCCTTGTAGCCATAGCCATCTCCAGCCATCTCGGTTGTCCGCCACTCACGCGTCTTCCTTTTCTTGGTGTCCACATGCGTACTCCGAGTGTATGTAGTAGATTTGCCACGTTGTGAAGCATGACTGATTGTCAGTAGTCATATTCTGTGTCCATTATGTTCCAAGTCTTAAACAAGAAGTCATAACCCTACCACTTTTTGCATTCTCAATGACTCTATTTTTGACACATTTATGCCGATCTATGCTTCTCACATGTTGAGTTCGTGAACCTCATGCGTCAGCCTCCTTCACTTTCTCATTCATCTCTCCTTCCACCACTATCGGAAGGCAATTTTTTTTGCACTTTTTGCGCGAAACATTGCAACAAACAACGGCCACTTTGAAAAATAGACCGTTTGTTTGTTTGTCTCGCCGAAGCAAAGCAAAACAAAGCAAACAACAAACAATGGTGTTTCGGATGAAGATCTCTGTGGTTTTACTTCTACTGATTGGAGCTCTAGTCTCCCTGGTCTCGGCTCGTGTTGGACGCGGTGGAGTTCAGGGCCGTTGGATATCTCCAAGAAATTTGGCGCAACCCGATGGTAATAATGATCCAAGTGGCATTCGAAGCCGAGGTGCCTGGGATAGCCTTCCGTCCGATCGCAGCCGACATCTCCAGTCCGAAAATTTTGTACCGAGGATGGGATTTAGAGTTAGTAGAATGGGAAATTCCACCAAGTCCGTCATGTCCGCCATGTCGTCAGGAATGGGCATGGCTACAAACAGCACCATCCGGAAAAAGGGCATGAAAATGGGACAGAGTACCAGCAAGTCCAAGAAAACCAACAAATCTTCCAGCAAAAAGAAATCATCCAAGAAATCAAAAAGTAAAAAAGTTACTCGTCGTCCAACAAATCGCCCAACCAATCGACCCACAAACAGGCCAACCAAGGCACCAATTCACGAGCCTCCAAACCGGGCCCCCTCACCAGGCAGTCCAATCAGCATTTCTCCGAGTGAAAGTCCCAGTGCCTCTCCTAGTGAATCACCAAGCGTTTTTCCAAGTAAAAGCCCCAGTGCGTCTCCCAGTTCTGCCCCCAGTGAGACACCTACCATTTCTGCAAGTAATATTCCCAGTGTCTTTCCTAGTTCCTCGCCAAGTGGGACTCCCAGCATTGTACCAAGCAGTAGCCCGAGTACCGCTCCCAGTGCCACTCCGAGTTCAACGCCTACCATTTTTCCAAGCGGCATTCCCAGTCAATTTCCCAGTTTTTTGCCAACGGCATCGCCAACCATTTCACAGAGTGTAAGCCCAAGCGAATCTCCCAGCGAAACTCCCAGCGAATCTCCCAGTGAAATCCCTACACTCCTTCCTACTGGTTCAGCCACAACCAATAGTCCCACTGCCACCACAACAACGGCAAGCCCTACCCAAGGCACCATTACCACCAGCCCTACTGCTGCTACCACAACCAGTAGACCAACTCCAGCAATCACCACGGCAAGTCCCACAGCCAGAGCTACGACTGGTAGCCCAACGCCTGCCGTAACAACAGCAAGCCCCACAGTAGGGACTACCACGGCAAGTCCCACACCAGGAACTACCACTGGCAGCCCAACTGTCGCCACATCAACCGCCATTCCCACTTTAACAACAACAACGGCAAGCCCTACCCAAGGCACCACTACCGCCAGCCCTACTGCTGCTACCACAACCAGTGGACCAACTCCAGTAATCACCACGGCAAGTCCAACAGCCAGAGCTACGACTGGTAGCCCAACGCCTGCCGTAACAACAGCAAGCCCTACACTTGCTGCAACAACAGGAAGCCCCACAGTAGGGACTACCACGGCAAGTCCCACACCAGGAACTACCACTGGCAGCCCAACTGTTGCCACATCAACAGCAAGCCCTACTTCTTCCGTGACAACATCAAGCCCTACACTTGCCGCAACAACAGGAAGCCCAACAGTAGGAACTACCACCGCAAGTCCCACACCAGGAACGACCACCAGCAGTCCAACTGAAGCCACATCAACCGCCACTCCCACTTTAACAACAACAACGGCAAGCCCTTCGATTGCTGCAACAACAGGAAGCCCCACAGTAGGGACTACGACGGCAAGTCCCACGGCAGGCACTACCACCAGCAGTCCAACTGAAGCTACGTCAACTGCAAGCCCAACAGCCATCTCTTCAACCGATGCTCCCACGCCAAGTGCTACAGCGGGTGTTACTAGGACTTATTACATGACATTCAATGGACCCAACTCAGGTTGGACAAGTCAACAAATGGCAGAAGCATTTGAGGTGTCATACAACTCGCTTCCAGAAGCCAATGCAACCATTGAAGGCATAGAAGTTAGTGAACCATTTCCACTTCCTGACCCTGATTTTTTCTTGGAATTCAATGTGACATCAAGCGACGCAATTGATGATACTCTGGCTACATTTGAGGCAGAGTTTCTTCAGCAATTTAATGAGGAGATAGCGGGTACTGGGGTCTTTGCCCTGTCGTTGAGCACTGAGCCCCCACTTGTAGTGACATCATCCCCAACACCTTCTGTTACAGGTAGCCCAACCACAAGCTCTTCCACTGGTGGTCCCACTGCAGCCAGCACAGTTACTGGCAGCCCCACCACAAGCACTGGCATCCCTACAGCTGGCTCAACTACATCTGCACCCACTAGTTTTGCAACAACATTGAGTCCAACAGGGTTTCCTGTTACAAGCAGCCCAACAACAAGCTCTTCAACCGGCAGCCCAACTGTCGCCATAACCAGCACTAGCAGCCCAACCCCCGGCTCCACCACAACATCCGTGCCAACAATCACAACCTTGACCCCAACCACTTTCACTGGCAGTCCCACTACTACTTCTTCAACAGGCAGTCCAACCTTAGGCACTACGGGAACTGGCAGCCCCACCACAGCAACGAGTAGCCCAACCCCCGGCTTGACAGCAACATCTGGGCCAACTATCACAACCATGATTCCCACCACTGTCACTGGCAGTCCCACAGTGAGTTCTTCAACTAGCAGTCCAACGTTAGCCACCACGGGAACTGGCAGCCCCACCACAGCAACGAGTAGCCCAACCCCAGGCTCCACAGCAACATCTGCACCCACTCCTGCGGAACGACAACCTTGACTCCCACCACTGTCACTGGCAGTCCCACAGTGAGTTCTTCAACTAGCAGTCCAACGTTAGCCACCACGGGAACTGGCAGCCCCACCACAGGAACGAGTAGCCCAACCCCTGGCTCCACAGCAACATCTGCACCCACTCCTGCTGGAACGACAACCTTGACTCCCACCACTGTCACTGGCAGTCCCACTACGAGTTCTTCAACTGGCAGTCCATCGCTAGCCACCACGGGAACTGCAGCCCCACCACAGGAACGAGTAGCCCAACCCCAGGCTCCACAGCAACATCTGCACCCACTCCTGCTGGAACGACAACCTTGACTCCCACCACTGTCACTGGCAGTCCCACAGTGAGTTCTTCAACTAGCAGTCCAACGTTAGCCACCACGGGAACTGGCAGCCCCCCACAGGAACGAGTAGCCAACCCCGGCTCCACAGCAACATCTGCACCCACTCCTGCTGGAACGACAACCTTGACTCCCACCACTGTCACTGGCAGTCCCACACGAGTTCTTCAACTGGCAGTCCACGCTAGCCACCACGGGAACTGCAGCCCCACCACAGAACGAGTAGCCCAACCCCAGGCTCCACAGCAACATCTGCACCCACTCCTGCTGGAACGACAACCTTGACTCCCACCACTGTCACTGGCAGTCCCACAGTGAGTTCTTCAACTAGCAGTCCAACGTTAGCCACCACGGGAACTGGCAGCCCCACCACAGCAACGAGTAGCCCAACCCCAGGCTCCACAGCAACATCTGCACCCACTCCTGCTGGAACGACAACCTTGACTCCCACCACTGTCACTGCAGTCCCACAGTGAGTTCTTCAACTAGCAGTCCAACGTTAGCCACCACGGGAACTGGCAGCCCCACCACAGCAACGAGTAGCCCAACTCCCAGGCTCCACAGCAACATCTGCACCACTCCTGCTGGAACGCAACCTTGACTCCCACCACTTCACTGGCAGTCCCACTACGAGTTCTTCAACTGGCAGTCCATCGTAGCCACCACGGGAACTGCCAGCCCCACCACAGAACGAGTAGCCCAACCCCGCTCCACAGCAACATCTGCACCCACTCCTGCTGAACGACAACCTTGACTCCCACCACTGTCACTGGCAGCCCACAGTGAGTTCTTCAACTAGCAGTCCAACGTTAGCCACCACGGGAACTGGAAGGCCCACCACAGGAACGAGTAGCCCAACCCCAGCTCCACAGCAACATCTGCACCCACTCCTGCTGGAACGACAACCTTGACTCCCACCACTGTCACTGCAGTCCCACAGTGAGTTCTTCAACTAGCAGTCCAACGTTAGCCACCACGGGAACTGGCAGCCCCACCACAGGAACGAGTAGCCCAACCCCAGGCTCCACAGCAACATCTGCACCCACTCCTGCTGGAACGACAACCTTGACTCCCACCACTGTCACTGGCAGTCCCACAGTGAGTTCTTCAACTAGCAGTCCAACGTTAGCCACCACGGGAACTGGCACCCCACCACAGGAACGAGTAGCCCAACCCCAGCTCCACAGCAACATCTGCACCCACTCCTGCTGAACGACAACCTTGACTCCCACCACTGTCACTGGCAGCCCACAGTGAGTTCTTCAACTAGCAGTCCAACGTTAGCCACCACGGAACTGGAGCCCCACCACAGGAACGAGTAGCCCAACCCCAGGCTCCACAGCAACATCTGCACCCACTCCTGCTGGAACGACAACCTTGACTCCCACCACTGTCACTGCAGTCCCACAGTGAGTTCTTCAACTAGCAGTCCAACGTTAGCCACCACGGGAACTGGCAGCCCCACCACAGCAACGAGTAGCCCAACCCCAGGCTCCACAGCAACATCTGCACCCACTCCTGCTGGAACGACAACCTTGACTCCCACCACTGTCACTGGCAGTCCCACAGTGAGTTCTTCAACTAGCAGTCCAACGTTAGCCACCACGGGAACTGGCAGCCCCACCACAGGAACGAGTAGCCCAACCCCAGGCTCCACAGCAACATCTGCACCCACTCCTGCTGAACGACAACCTTGACTCCACCACTGTCACTGGCAGTCCCACTACGAGTTCTTCAACTGGCAGTCCATCGTAGCCACCACGGGAACTGCCAGCCCCACCACAGGAACGAGTAGCCAACCCCAGGCTCCACAGCAACATCTGCACCACTCCTGCTGGAACGACAACCTGACTCCCACCACTGTCACTGGCAGTCCACAGTGAGTTCTTCAACTAGCAGTCCAACGTTAGCCACCACGGGAACTGGCAGCCACCACAGAACGAGTAGCCCACCCCAGGCTCCACAGCAACATCTGCACCACTCCTGCTGGAAAGACAACCTTGACTCCCACCCTGTCACTGGCAGTCCCACAGAGTTCTTCAACTAGCAGTCCAACGTTAACCACCACGGGAACTGGCAGCCCCACCACAGAACGAGTAGCCCAACCCCCAGCTCCACAGCAACATCTGCACCCACTCCTGCTGGAACACAACCTTGACTCCCACCACTTCACTGGCAGTCCCACAGAGTTCTTCAACTGCAGTCCAACTTAGCCACCACGGGAACTGGCAACCCACCACAGCAACGAGTAGCCCAACTCCCGGCTCCACAGCAACATCTGCACCCACTCCTGCTGGAACGACAACCTTGACTCCCACACTGTCACTGGCAGTCCCACAGCGAGTTCTTCAACTGGCAGTCCAACGTTAGCCACCACGGGAACTGGCAGCCCCACCACAGCAACGAGTAGCCCAACTCCCGGCTCCACAGCAACTTCTGCACCCACTCCTGCTGGAACGACAACCTTGACTCCCACCACTGTCACTGGCAGTCCCACAGCGAGTTCTTCAACTGGCAGTCCATCGCTAGCCACCACGGGAACTGGCAGCCCCACACAGCAACGAGTAGCCCAACCCCGGCTCCACAGCAACATCTGCACCCACTCCTGCGGAACGACAACCTTGACTCCCACCACTGTCACTGGCAGTCCACAGTGAGTTCTTCAACTAGCAGTCCAAGTAGCCACACGGGAACTGGCAGCCCACCACAGCAACGAGTAGCCCAACCCCAGCTCCACAGCAACATCTGCACCCACTCCTGCTGGAACGACAACCTTGACTCCCACCACTGTCACTGGCAGTCCCACAGTGAGTTCTTCAACTAGCAGTCCAACGTTAGCCACCACGGAACTGGCAGCCCCACCACAGGAACGAGTAGCCCAACCCCAGGCTCCACAGCAACATCTGCACCCACTCCGCTGGAACGACAACCTTGATCCCACCACTGTCACTGGCAGTCCCACTACAGTTCTTCAACTGGCAGTCCAACGTAGCCACCACGGGAACTGGCAGCCCCACCACAGGAACGAGTAGCCCAACCCCAGCTCCACAGCAACATCGCACCCACTCCTGCTGGAACACAACCTGATCCCACCACTGTCACTGGCAGTCCCACAGTGAGTTCTTCAACTAGCAGTCCAACGTTAGCCACCACGGAACTGGAGCCCCACCACAGGAACGAGTAGCCCAACCCCAGGCTCCACAGCAACATCTGCACCCACTCCTGCTGGAACGACAACCTTGACTCCCACCACTGTCACTGGCAGTCCCACATGAGTTCTTCAACTAGCAGTCCAACGTTAACCACCACGGGAACTGGCAGCCCCACCACAGGAACGAGTAGCCCAACCCCCGGCTCCACAGCAACATCTGCACCCACTCCTGCTGGAACGACAACCTTGACTCCACCACTGTCACTGGCAGTCCCACAGTGAGTTCTTCAACTGGCAGTCCACGCTAGCCACCACGGGAACTGAAGCCCCACCACAGGAACGAGTAGCCCAACCCCAGCTCCACAGCAACATCTGCACCCACTCTGCTGGAACGACAACCTTGACTCCCACCACTGTCACTGGCAGTCCCACAGCGAGTTCTTCAACTGGCAGTCCAACGTTAGCCACCACGGGAACTGCAGCCCCACCACAGGAACGAGTAGCCCAACCCCAGGCTCCACAGCAACATCTGCACCCACTCCTGCTGGAACGACAACCTTGACTCCCACCACTGTCACTGGCAGTCCCACAGTGAGTTCTTCAACTAGCAGTCCACGTTAGCCACCACGGGAACTGGCAGCCCCACCACAGCAACGAGTAGCCCAACCCCGGCTCCACAGCAACATCTGCACCCACTCCTGCTGGAACGACACCTTGACTCCCACCACTGTCACTGGCAGTCCCACAGGAGTTCTTCAACTGGCAGTCCAACGTTAGCCACCACGGGAACTGGCAGCCCCACCACAGCAACGAGTAGCCCAACCCCGGCTCCACACAACTTCTGCACCCACTCCTGCTGGAACGACAACCTTGACTCCACCACTGTCACTGGCAGTCCACAGTGAGTTCTTCAACTGGCAGTCCAACGTTAGCCACCACGGGAACTGGCAGCCCCACCACAGCAACGAGTAGCCCAACCCCGGCTCCACAGCAACATCTGCACCCACTCCTACTGGAACGACAACCTTGACTCCCACCACTGTCACTGGCAGTCCCACAGCGAGTTCTTCAACTAGCAGTCCAACGTTAGCCACCACGAGAACTGGAAGCCCCACCACAGCAACGAGTAGCCCAACCCCCAGCTCCACAGCAACATCTGCACCCACTCCTGCTGGAACGACAACCTTGACTCCCACCACTGTCACTGGCAGTCCCACAGTGAGTTCTTCAACTGGCAGTCCAACGCTAGCCACCACGGGAACTGGCAGTCCCAGCACAACCACTGTTAGCCCAACGCCCGGCTCCACAACAACATTTGTGCCAACTACTGCCACCTTGAGTCCTTCTACGTTCACCGGCAGTCCCACAGCGAGTTCTTCAACAGGCAGTCCAACTTTAGCCACCACGGGAACTGGCAGCCCCACCACAGGAACGAGTAGCCCAACCCCCGGCTCCACAGCAACATTTGCACCTACTGGGTCTGGAACGCCAACCTTGGCTCCCACCACTTTCACTGGCAGTCCCACCGTGAGTTCTTTGACCCAAAGTCCAACAGGGGCAACCACAGCAACTGGAAATCCCACAACAAGCACTGGCAGCCCAACTGCTGGCTCAACAACGGCAGTACCAACTGGTGAGGAGACAGGAACCTTGAATCCCACCATCTTCACTGGAAGCCCAACCACAAGCTCTTCTACTGGAAGTCCCACCGGTAGCTCTTCCACTGGTAGTCCCACCACTACAACAACAACAATGAGCCCAACAGAAACTACTACAACAATGAGCCCAACAGAAATGACAACAACAGTGAGCCCCACCTTAGCTGTTACAACTGCGATCCCCACTCTAAGCTCTTCAACTGGAAGTCCTACTGTGATTTCTACATCTGCTCCAACTGTACCTGGATCAGTTTTGACTTCAAGCACAATCAGCCTAGTGATTTCACAGGCAAATGGACGGGTTCCTGTGCAAGCGGAAATTGATGGTCTTTTGGTCCAACTTAATCAATTTTACACCGATGTGCTCACAAATGTGTTTGGTGCTGATTTGCAGAGTTACACAGCAACCGAGACATCATCTACCAGCGATGTGGCAGGCTCATTCACAATTTCAATGGTTAGCCATGCAGATGTGACAGTATTTGTGGAGGGTGCGACTATTCCCTCTCAGGCAGAGGTTGACCAAGCCATCCAAAATGCAGACTTGACCGCGTTTGTGGAAGACTACATTCCAAATGTGCTACCAGATGACAATATATACAAGGGCACCATACTGGCCTCCTCCACGTCCACAACAGGAAGTCCAACAGCCAAGCTCCAACCCTTCAATATCACACAGATCCTTTGCAGCCCTCAGTTCCTCTCACTGCAGCTTTGCAACACCACCCCTTCAGTATTCCCCAGCTCACCCCCCAGTGCCACCCCAAGCATTTCCCCCCGAGGATCAGCCTCTGGCACAGCTACTCGAATCACACCAACAGCACTTGGTCCAACAGCAGAAGTAACAACTTCGCCAACAGCCCTAATAACTGCAACGGCTGCTCGATCTTTTGGTACTGGGCTTCCAGAAATCATAAAATTGAAAGACTACGAGGCTACCGAGGATGACACCAACATCGATACCTTTCCAGTGGCTAGCAGGCTGTCATTCAAGTTCTTTCCAAACAAAGGAAGAGAGCCCACCACCAAAGAAATCACAGCATTGGTCAACACCACTGCTTCCTTTTTCGCAAAAGTATTCCAAAACAATCGAATCTTCAAGCCGGTGTTCAGAAATTTTGAGCTCACTGAACCAACTCCAATGTACAGTTCCTCAGAAAACCCTGACTTGTTCATTCTGGAGTTTATGGCCCTAATTGACGTCAATGCCACCAGTTCAGTGTCAGGTCAAAGGGCATCCAGAGTTATGAGTGCTTGTAATTATGCCCACTACATTGGCAATTATGTCAGGAAGATGGGATCAAGGAATGAGTTCTACCAGACCCGAGCAGTTCATTTTGTTGGTGTCAGTCATAAGGCCTGAGTGTCCACCCCTTGTGAGCTGTGTTGGCAAGGTCGGACAGTATGACGCCAGACATGCGCCGTTCCTTCCCAGCAATTCATCTGCATCTGCCAAACCAAGTGCATGAATCCTGTAGGCCACCGACTCTTTTATAACGTGTTTGTAATTCATGATATTGGATCAAAGCATCCGCGAGAGGTCTTGCAGTAGTTTTCCACCCTAACACTGCTACGATGCAAGTTTTTTTTTTGCTATTAGTCTACTTGTGTGCATGCGTTGGTACACCTCTCGGATCTGTCCTTTCTGTTGCATCAGCTCTTCCTGCTTCTGATTGAAGAAGGCAGTTGCATTGCTCCTCCGCCTGTCTTGCGACGTATCGTGTTGGACCTACAGGGATCTAAGTTCTAGTAGCAATCCAAAGCCTTTGCCCTACGTACCATCAGCCAACGTTAACAAATGCTCTGAGCAAGAGAGATGCCTGGATGTTTGATTGCGCCGGAAGCTGTTCGCACCATTCAAACATTGTTGCGTTGCTCGCACCCCTCTCGTATTTCTAGCTGCTTGGTCTTGGCTGAGCCGGATAGCTTCGAGATCTTTGGTATGATCATGCGCGCATTGACATGTATATGGGCCGCGATCTGGCCGACACCCAAAATCGATCTGGCTAGCTAGAAACCTTGGCTTGGGCATGCCGTTTGCTCCCACCCGTCCACCATGCTGCAGCCGTCTCGCATGTATAGCGACAACGGGTTAGAGAAGCAAGAACACTTCCTTCCGACATTTCTTTTCTTGATCGGTAAGGCATCTGCCTCTTTGCACCTCTCCTGCTCATCTGGCATAGCTAGCTTAGGTACAGGTGTAACACCGGCGCCTCCCGTGAAAGAACCTGCTGGCACGCAGATTTGACGACCGCATTCTTTTCGGCATTGAACATCTTGGGCATCTCTTCTCGGCATAAAAACGAGAGAGAGGGGTTCGCCTTGTGACCGAACCATGACCGAACCTTTCTGGTAGTTCGTCATGTATGATTTAGAGGACCGCAGAAAGCTGAAGAGCAGTTCCCATGATCAAGATGACCCACAGGGGGGAAAACAAAACGAAAGAGTTTTGAGCCATTAATTTTGTCAAACTGGCTGCAATCTCATAATTTGCCGCTTTCAGACAACGATGCAACAACGATGCATCAGGTCTCCAGCCAGCAAAGGAAGAATCATGTCGCAATTCAAGTCTACGGCTGTTGCATCGCTTTTCTTTTGGCCTGGCGTTCGGTGAGAGTATTTGCCCGTGTGGAACAGACTAGATGGAACAGACGAGTCCTCATTCAGCGAAATACTCAAGAAAACAGAATAGGCCTTGAGGATGGCGGTAGAAACAGAGGCTCCAGCAATCCTCTTTTTCACAGCCGGAACCTGCAGTCCCAAATTTCAGCAATCGCTTTGGACGCGAGTGCGGAAAATTCCACTACGGCACAAACATTAATCGAGACCACCACGAACGACGAACCTCAACGAATTGGAGTGTCAGCGAGGAAAAGAATTAGCCTAATAATGGAAATGAGTGTCGCCGTGAAGAAGCGAAAAAGCACAAAAACTGCAACACACGCAAATGTGAAGAGGAGGATGGGGATGAGTGGAATGGGGAGGAGCAAGTCAATGATGGGGAGGAGCAAGTCAATGATGGGAAAGATTAGCAGGAGTATTGTGATGAGAATGACAGTTATGCGAATGACGAGAATGATGGCAATTCCAACCAGGAGGCCTACAAATCGCCCTGCAAATCGCCCTACGAACTGACCAACCAGAGCACCAATTCCTGTTCCTCCTAATCGTTCCCCACCACTTGCTACTCCCAATCCCACACTCCCGCCAACACCTCTTCCGACCACACCACAACCAACACCAGGCCCCACCACACCACAACCAACACCTGCTCCTACCACAGCAATGCCCGCCACATCTCCCAGTACTAGCCCAGTTGCATCACCGAGTTCCACTCCAAGTGCACCGCCATCAATAGGTCCAAGTCCAACCCAGTTCGTCACCAAGCGCTACTCCTAGCCAAACCCCATCAATACCCCCCAGCGCAACGCCAAGCACCAACCCTTCTGAATCACCAAGTACTTCTCCCAGTGCCATTCCAAGTGCTTCCCCCAGTTTGACTTGGTCGGGATCACCTAGCTCCAAGCCCAGCATTTCACCAAGTTCAAGTCCCAGCCAGACACCCTCAATAGCTCCTAGTGCCACACCCAGTGCCAGACCATCAACAACGCCCAGCTCTTCTCCCTTTTCTCCTAGTGGTAGTCCATCCAGATCCCCCAGTTCAAGGCCAATTGTCTCACCAAGTTCCAGTCCCAGCAAAACCCCATCAGTCGCTCCAAGTATATCACCCAGTAACAGCCCCTCAGCTTCACCCAGTTTATCCCCAAGTACCACTCCAAGTGCTTATCCGAGTGCTACTCCCTCTGGATGCCCAAGTTCCCAACCTAGCAGTCAGCCAAGTGCTTCGCCCAGCAAATCACCATCAGTGCCCCCAGTGAATCCCCAAGTGTGAGCCCTTCTGCCAATCCTAGTGCTTCGCCAAGCACAAGTCCAAGTGCTTCCCCGAGTTTCAGTCTCCATCAGGATCCCCCAGTTCACAACCAAGCACCCAGCCAAGCACATCTCCAAGCAAAAGCCCATCAGTAGCTCCAAGCAAATCACCAAGCTCCAGCCCCACTGTCATGCCCAGCTCCTCTCCTAGTTCCACCCCCAGTGCTTCTCCTAGTGTTAGTCCATCTGAGTCACCAAGTTCCCAACCAAGGTCTAATCCCAGTGCCTCTCCAAGCAAAAGCCCGTCAAATTCTCCCAGTACAGAGCCAAGTTCTAGCCCCTCTACCAGTCCCAGCACTTCTCCTAGTGCCACTCCAAGTACTTCTCCTAGTGCTGGTCCATCTGAGTCACCAAGTGCTCAACCAAGCACTCAGCCAAGTACCTCTCCAAGCAAAACCCCATCAGTAGCTCCAAGTGAATTACCAAGTTCTAGCCCCTCTGTCATTCCCAGCACTTCTCCTAGTGCCACTCCAAGTGTGTCTCCTAATGCTGGTCCATCGGAGACTCCCAGTTTGCAACCCAGCTCATCACCAAGTTCTACCCCCAGCCAGGCTCCTTCCATCTCTCCTAGCACCCAACCCAGCTCCTTGCCAAGCTCCGCACCCAGTGAGTCACCGTCAATGGCGCCTAGCACACAACCCAGCATTTCACCAAGTTCAACTCCAAGCGAGGCTCCCTCGATCATTCCTAGCGCCCAACCGAGCTCTTCACCAAGCTCTTCCCCTAGTGAATCACCATCAATAGAACCTAGTACACAACAAAGCATTTTGCCAAGTTCCACTCCAAGTGCATTCCCACTGATAGCACCAAGCACCTCTCCAAGTACCAGTCTGTCTTCATCACCAAGTTCTTCTCCAAGTAGCAATCCAAGCACATCACCAAGTTCCGGTCCATCTGTGTCTCCCAGTTCCCAACCCAGTGCTTTGCCAAGTGCTCTTCCTAGCCAAGCTCCATCAATAGGTCCTAGTGTATCTCCAAGTTCCAGCCCCTCTGAATCCCCCAGTTCAAAACCAAGTGTATTGCCAAGCTCCAGCCCCTCTGCCACACCCAGCTCCTCTCCAAGTACTAAACCAAGTGCTGAACCAGCTGGGTCACCCAGTGAGTCTCCAAGCATAAGCCCATCAGTAGCTCCCAGTGTGTCTGCTAGCTCCAGACCCTTAGCAACACCAAGTGCTTCTCCAAGCACTGCTCCATCTGTTGCACCCAGCCCCCAACCAAGCAAATCTCCAAGTTCCAGTCCATCTGTGTTGCCAAGTTCCCAACCTAGCTCTTCACCAAGCTCCACACCCAGTAGATCTCCATCTATACCCCCCAGTGTATCACCAAGTTTCAGCCCCTCTTCATCGCCAAGCTCATCTCCCAGTTTCCAAGCCAAGTACTTCTCCTAGTTTCAGTCCATCTGTGATACCCAGTTCCCAACCAAGCACTTCTCCAAGTACCAGACCATCTGGGTCTCCCAGTTTGAGACCAAGTTCTTCTCCAAGTGCCAGTCCGAGTTCCAGACCCTCAACATGTCCAAGCTCATCTCCTACTAGTTCCAAACCCAGCTCTTCACCAAGCTCAAGTCCCAGTATTTCTCCATCAGTAGTGCCCAGTGTCATTATTGCTCGAAGTATATCTTCGTCAGCTAATGCTCCAACCAGAGAGGGCTCCACCAAAACCACTGTGCCCACAATTCTTAACACAACAATCTCAACTTGATCTTTCACAGCAAATGCTCCAACTGTGCCCACAATTTTTAATACAACAAACTCAACTCGATCAAGCTCCAGTCCCAGTATTTCTCCATCAGCAGCACCCAGTGTCATTATTGTGCAAAGTACCTCTTCCACCGCAAATGCTCCAACCAGAGAGGTCTCCACCGAAACAAGTGTCCCCACAATTCTTGATACAACAAACTCGACTCGATCTTTCACAGCAAATGCTCCAACCTTAGAAGGATCCACCAACACCACTGCACCCACAAATGTTTTGAATGCAACAAACTCAACTCAATCAAGCTCCAGTCCCATCAGCTCTCCTTCAGTAGCACCCAGTGTCATTATTGCTCGAAGTACATCTTTCACAGAAGAAACCACTATGCCCACAATTCTTAAGGCGACAAACTCAACCCAATCATTTGTTGCTGCCCCCAGAAACTGTGAAGCTGAAACACTTCAAGCTCACTGGTGAAATCAATGGTGTTCATTTTCTTCCAGTTGCAAGCAAACTCTCATTCCAGTTCTTCCCAAACACAGGAAGAGAGCCCACAACAACAGAAATCATTGCATTGGTCAACAGCACTGTCTTCTTTTTCCAGCATGAATTCAACAACAACCGCATCTTCAAACCTGTTTTCAATGACTTCCAGCTTAAGGAACCAATTCCAAAGTACTGGAGCGTTCCTCAATCGTGCATGAAACCGACCCTAAAATAGGGTCGGATTTAAGGTCGGATTCCCTTTAGGGTCGGGTTTCAAAACCGACCCTAAAAATAGGGACGTTTTCTGAAAAATAGGGACGGTTTCTGAAAAAACGTCCCTAATTTAGGGTCGGGTTTCATTTTAGGGTCGGGTTTGAAAAACGTCCCTAAATAGAAACGGGACTGCCTGGTAAACACATTGAAAACGCACCAATATTAGGGTCGGGTTTCGAAACCGACCCTAAAAATAGGGACGTTTTCTGAAAAATAGGGACGGTTTCTGAAAAAACGTCCCTAATTTAGGGTCGGGTTTCGTTTTAGGGTCGGGTTTTGAAACCGTCCCTATATTTAGGGACGGATTCCCCAAACCGACCCTAAATTAGGGTCGGATTTAAAGTCATGCACGATTGAGGAACGCTCCAGCTCTTTGAGTGATCCTGACCTTTTCAATCTGGAGTTTTTGGCCTTGATTAGTGTGAATGCCAGCAATTTGCATCAAGTGTCAGGACAAGGGGCCTCCAAAGTTATGGGAACTTGTGACTATGCAAACTACATTGACAACTATGTCAGGAACATGAGATCATGGAGTGAGTTCTACCATACTCGAGCAGTTCATTTTGCGGGTGTCAGTCATACTGGTAGGGGTTAGCTCCAGGATGCTACCACAAGTATTTTGACGCTTGCCATGTCTGCATTGAGTCTTGCAGGATCAAATTTCTGAATGTCTATTTGGCCAAGTTTGTAGAGGCACCACAGCCACTCTCAATTTTGCACATGCTCACCGATTACCAGAGACAAGAAGTTGAAACCAGGCTCGAGGAAGAAGGCAGAGCACTGTAGCAGGTCGCGACTGCTGCCTAGCTAGTGGGCTGCTCTCGAAAAGAAACGCGAAGATGGTCGATTACAAGGGGCGCGCTGTATTCTTGCTAGTTTGCCCAGGATGGAACGAGGAAGATAAATCCGGGACGTACGTCCAGGGATCGTTCGATTCGAACGAAGCTTGGCTTGTGGAGTGCCAAAGCCAGCCTCGCACAGACAATTTGCTTCATTAAAAGTTACTACGATAACGATACTCTAGATCGATCCACCATAGCAAACATTTAGGCAACACACGCAACAGCACCGTCAGAGGTTCATGCGCTCAGGTGTTGAGTTTTGATGCTTTGAGGTTAGGTTTCTCGGAGGACGCCCCAAGAACACGCGACCATCATGGACAAAATGCGTGTCGTGGACCGTGGAGATCCAAGGGCCAAGATTGTGGTTCTCTCTGCTGGCGACATGTGCAGCGACCGTGCAAACGCTATATCGAGGGGGTCCACCCGCTTTCTCGTCCAGGGATTTCTCTGCACAAACAAGCAGCCAAGTAGGCCGCATATCTGCATATTCTCCCAGGAAGTGACAAACGTAAAACCTCAAAAGAGCAATCGGGAGCAGATGGATCGAAGCACAAAGCCAGCCCGTGACGTTGGAGCTGACGCACAACCTAGCTAAGCACCTTTGGAACCCGCAACTGTTTGCCAAAAACCCATTCGTCAACGGCACCAAGAAGTCAATCGCTCCATAGCGCTAGTAGCATGATGCAAGACAACGGACGTCTTGACCGTCTTGCTTGGCCGAAAAGGAGCACCAGTTTGTGACCCGAACCGGAAGCAGGGCTTCTGACACCGCCTTCTTTGCATGTCCAAGCCTTAGGCACACAAAGTCATCTTGAACAGTGCCTTTAATAAAATGTTGAAGAAACTGATGACTGTAGGCACGTGTCGTCAAAGACGTTGGCAAGTTGGCAATCTTTGTGGCCAAAAAGCACCAACAGCTCGATTTGGCCCTTGCGGCATCTTGTCCCTCCGCGGTCTTGCAACCAAAGAAGCATCAAATCAATCTCCAACCAACAAAATCGCTAATGTATGAGAATCATGTTGCGCTTCAAATATGCGCTTGTTGTAGTGAGCGCCGTTGCATGTCTTTTTGCTTCCTGTGCCCGAGGTGAGCATGGAAGACCGGAGCTTTTTCGAATCAATCCAACAAGAGAAAACTCCAAAACAGAGAAAAGCCGTCGTTGGGATGGCGGTAAAGACAAAGGCTGCTGCATACCTTCACTTCACAGCCACAGTCGACTGCTTCAGTCAGAATTATCAGAGGCCAGCAATAATTCAACCGACAACAATAATGCAACTCAGGTCGAAAGGTTGGGTGCTGTGACGGTGAAGAAAAAGAAAGGCCCAAAAGTGGCAGCTTCGGCTGGTGCCCAGGCAGCTGTGAAAAACTCAAAGCGCATAGACATGGGAAGGAGTGGGGATGCCAGAACGGGGACGGGGGAGAAAATGGGAATGTCGAGCAAGTCGGCAATGGGATCGACCAGCAAGTCAGTGATGAGAACAAGCAGCAAGTCAAGAATAGGAAGCATGAAGAGCACGAAAACGGGAATGTCGAGCAAGTCAGCCGTGCCAACCAGGAGGCCTACTCTTCGTCCAACTCTTCGTCCTACAATTCGTCCTACCGAGGGTCCTACAAAAAGGCCAACCAGTCCACCAATTCCCGTACCTCCAAATCGTGCCCCTTCACCAGCTACTCGTCAACCCACGCCTACTCCTAGATATAGGCCAACTCCATCTCCATCCGCTGCGCACACTCGCCAACCCACTCCCACTCCTAGATTTAGGCCAACAACTCCAGCTCCAACCATCGCACGTACTCGTCAACCCACACCCACTCCTAGATTTAGGCCAACACCGGGTCCATCCACCCAACAACCAACACCCGCTCCTGCAACGCTGCAACCAACACCCGATCCTTCGTCTCCACCCACTGACATCCCCACCTTGAGCACCACAACTGCAGTCCCGACCATATCTGGCACTACGGCTCTGCCAACAAGGCCTTCTCTTACCAGCAGCCCAACCACAAGCGCTTCCACAAATAGCCCTACGTCAACCAACACCGGTGCAACACCAAACCCCACCACCACCAGTTCTGGCAGCCCTACAACCATGCCCTTTTACCTAACCCTAAGTGGTCCCACATCAGGTTTGACAGATCAGGAAATCGAGGATGCCTTTGTGGCAGCATACAACTCACTGCCAGGATCCAACAATGCAACCATTGAGAGCATGGAAGTTGGACAACCTGTTCCTCTGCTTGACCCTGACTTTTTTGTGCAGCTTAATGTGACATCCAGTGAAGCCATTGATCAAACCCTGGCTACCTATCAGGTAGAGTTTCTACAACAGTTCAACCAGGAGATACAAGGTACTGGAGTGGTTGCTCTGTCACTGAGTACAGATCCCCCAATTGCTGCATCATCAGCACCAACCACCAGCAATACTCTCAACCCCACCCCCAGCGCCACAACTGCAGAACCCTCTGCCTCTGTGCCGACAGGTGTTCCAGCTACAGCCAGTCCGACTGGAAATTTATTTACTGGAAGTCCCACTGACACCGGTACAGGCACCACGGACGCACCCACCACTATTACAGGTACCCCAACCTTGAGCTCCACAACTTCAGAGCCAACAGCGCTGCCTGCTACAGGGAACCCTACTAAATCAACTGGAAGTCCTACCTTCGTTTCTTCCACCGGTAGTCCCACTACAGCCAACACTGGAAGCCCCACATCCAGCTCAATGACTGCTGCACCAACTGGGTCCGTGACAACCTCAATACCAACGGCTTTTACTGGTAGTCCTACAACCGTTTCACTTACTGGAAGCCCAACTGTCGCCAACACAAGAACTGGCAGCCCCACAAAAAGCACTAGCACCCCCACGTCTGGCTCAACAACAGCAGTACCCAGCTTGTCTGAAACAATATTAGTACCAACTACTTCTACTGGCAGCCCCACCACCAGTTCTTCCACTGGAAGTCCAAGTGTATCAACTGGCACTCCGACCACACCTACCGAAAGCCCCACATCGGGCTCAACAACAAATGCACCATCTCGTTCTGTGACAACATCGTTTCCAAGTACTTTTACTGGCAGTCCCACGACTAGTTCTTCCACCGGAAGTCCAACTACTGGAACTGGAAGCCCTACAACAAGTACTGGTATCCCCACATCTGGTTCACCCACTGCAGTACCTACGGCTTCCACAACAACGATGAGCCCTACAGAAATCAATACAACAACTAGTCCCACGAGCTCTTCGACTGTGAGTCCTACAAGCAGCTCTTCCACTGGTAGCCCAACTGTTTCCACGACAACAATGAGCCCAACGGCTACCATTACAACAACTAGTCCAACCTCAGGCTCTTCAACTGGAAGCCCCACAATCAGCGCTTCCACTGGTAGTCCAACGGCTTCCGCAACAACGATGAGCCCCACGGCAACCATTACAACAATTAGCCCTACCTCAGGCTCTTCGACTGGAAGTCCTACAAGTAGCTCTTCCACTGCTAGCCCAACGGCTTCCACGACAACCATGAGCCCCACAGCAATCATTACAACAACAAGTCCTACCTCAGGCACTTCGACTGGAAGTCCCACAAGCAGATCTTTCACTGGTAGCCCAACCGCTTCCACGACAACCATGAGCCCCACAGCAATCATTACAACTAGTAGCCCTACCGCAGGTTCACCAACTGGCAGTCCTAGCTTTTCCACGACAACAATGAGCCCAACTGTAATGACTACTACATTGAGCCCCACTGCAACCACAACAACAAGTGTCCCTAGCGCGTCACCCAGCAGAGGTCCTACGGGAGCCCCAACTATTTCTCCAAGTTTGATCCCCTCCGTATCACCTAGCGAACCTCCCAGTATTAGTCCAACTGAATCAATGAGTGCCCAGCCAAGCAGTCAGCCAAGTGCCATTCCCAGTGAGCTTCCCTCCATAGCCCCAAGTTTTCAGCCTAGTCAGCCTCCCTCAAGAGCACCAAGTGGATCACCCAGTGCTTCACCAAGTGGCACTCCAAGTCGGCCTCCTTCAATAGCACCGAGTGGATCACCCAGTGCTTCACCAAGTGGCACTCCAAGTCTGCTTCCTTCAATAGCACCAAGTGTACAACCCAGCTCTTCACCAAGTGGCACTCCAAGCCGTACTCCATCGATTGCCCCCAGTGTACAACCAAGCTCTCAGCCTAGTGGCATTCCAAGTCAGACCCCATCAATTGCCCCAAGTGTTCACCCCAGTGCATCTCCAAGTGGCACTCCAAGTCAGGCACCATCAATTGCCCCTAGTATTCAACCTAGTGCTTCACCCAGTGACACTCCAAGCCAGGCTCCATCAATTGCTCCAAGTGCCCAACCTAGCTCATCACCAAGTTCAACCCCAAGCCAAGCACCATCTATAGCTCCCAGTGTCCAACCTAGTGAATCCCCCAGTGCCACTCCGAGTCAGGCACCATCTATTGCTCCAAGCGTTCAGCCCAGCTCATCACCAAGCTCGTCTCCAAGCCAGGCTCCCTCAATAGCCCCAAGTTCTCAACCGAGTTCATTGCCAAGTTCTCCACCAAGCCAGGTTCCATCCATTGCCCCCAGCGTGCTACCTAGCTCATCTCCCAGTGCAGCGCCAAGCCAGGCTCCCTCAATAGCCCCAAGTGTCACTCCAAGCCAGGCTCCATCAATAGGTCCAAGTGCATCACCCAGTTCTTCGCCCAGTGATACTCCAAGCCAAACGCCCTCAATTGCTCCCAGTGTCCAGCCTAGCTCCTCCCCCAGTGCCACTCCAAGCCAGGCTCCATCAATAGGTCCAAGTGCATCACCCAGTTCTTCGCCCAGTGATACTCCAAGCCAATCGCCCTCAATTGCTCCAAGCTCCAGTCCTTCTTCTGCGCCGAGTTCTTCCCCAAGCACCAGTCCCTCTGGGTCCCCTAGTTCAAGACCAAGTGCTTCTCCAAGTGCTAGTCCAAGTTCCAGACCCTCTAATGCCCCAAGCTCATCGCCGAGTGCCAGACCAAGTGCCTCACCCAGCTCCAGTCCCAGCGGCGCTCCTTCAGTAGCACCCAGTGTCGTTATTTCTCGAAGTACATCTTTCACAGCCCATGCCCCAACAACAAATGTTGCCACAACATCCTCTACTAGATTATCTGTTCCTGTTCCTCCAGAAACTGTGAAGTTGAAAGACTTCAACTTTACTGATGAAGATGAGAGCATCCGCACTCTTCCAGTTGCAAGCAAGCTGTCATTCCAGTTCTTTCCAAACACAGGGCGAGAACCTACCACAACAGAAACCACTGCATTGATCAACAGCACTGTTTTCTTTTTCCTGCAAGAATTCCAACACAACCGGATCTTCAAATCTGTGTTCAGAAGTTTTGAGCTAACCAAGCCAACTCCCAAGTACAGTGCCTCAAATGACCCTGACATTTTTGTTCTGGAGTTCATGGCCTTGATTGGTGTGGATGCTGGTAATTCTCAGCAAGTTTCAGGGCAGAGGGCATCCAGAGTTATGGGTACTTGTGACTATGCAAACTACATTGACAACTATGTCAGGATGATGGGATCGTGGAATGAGTTTTACCAGACCCGTGCAGTTCATTTTGTTGGTGTCAGTCACAAGCAGTAGCTACATAGATGCTGTGGGCAAGTCCAGAGTCTGAAACAGGGCTGTGACGTAGGCATGCATCAATGGTAGATCTCATGCATCAATGGTATATCTCGAGTTGCTCTGTCCACCAGAAGAGCTGAGGAACTGCCAGGTGTTGGTCAACATTCACATCCAAAGAACTTTGACAGGCAGTTTGCTTCATCTCAGCCACCTTCGTCCATCTTTGTTGTCTATGATGCAGGACCAAAGCAGTGTAGCCAAAACTGTTTGCAACACCAAGACGTGACGGCGTGAGAGAGGTCGTCCTCCTCGGCGGATGTACGGGTGTCCGAAATCAGTTCCGATCGAAGATTTAACGATTCCGTCGACAATCTCAGCATGAAGTTGGCCCTTCAGCTAGACAGAGGGCGTCAGTGTTGGATTAACGTAGCTAGCTAGCAATAATCCAAATAGACAAACGAGAATGCCCTTGGCAGAAGATACGGCACACTTCGTGCTGCACGAAGAGTCAATCTGGAAAGCTAGCTACAGTACTAGCTGGCGCTGGATAGCCATCAGCTGATGTCTACCACTACTCGAGCATGGCGGCAAGCAACCTTTCCGAAAATGTGAGCACGCGCAACCATGTAACACTTAGACAAATTTTCATTTAGCAGGTTTGGACAAAAATGTCCTCGAAGGACAAAATGATTTAACGGCTCTTGTCCGCCGGACACTTCATCGTCGTTCCCTCTGTTCCCTTTCGGTCCCCAACTTTTCCAAGATATCAATTCCTCCGCTCGACTATCACTCTTTCATTCAAGTCCAAGCCCACGAAACTATGGCACCCAACACGCCAACAGTGAAGCAATACCGGTACAACTCTGTGGGTGCTCTGTCGAGCACCCTGGCTGTTGTTCTTTTTTGGTGGGCTGCTGTGGTCTCAGCTCGTGCCAGTCGAGGTGGATTGAAGGGAATCCATCAAAGCAGGGCACACGAACAGAGCAGTGGCCAGCAGGATGGAGTAAGGAGCAGAGGCCACTGGAACCATCTGCAAACAGGTCACATCCGACATCTCCAGTTAGAAAATTCAGCAATGCGCACAGGAAATTCCACCAAGTCCGCCATGTCCGCCATGTCAGGGATGGGCACGACTGCAAACAGCACAGGGCAAAGGATGGGAATGATGGGCATGATGGGCATGGACATGGGAATGTCGAGTATGAAAATGGGGATGTCGAGCATGAGTACGAAAATGTCAATGATGGGGATGTCTAGCATGAGCAACAAGATGTCAATGATGGGAATGTCAATGATGGGAATGCCCATAATGTCAACCCCAAGGCCTACTCGCAGACCAACAAATCGCCCAACCAATCCACCAACTCCAATCCCGACTGGAGCCCCAAGCATAAGCACTCCAACTGCAACACCTACGACTGTGGCTCCCAAAAGTCCAAATGCAGCTCCCACTGTCTCACCAGTAACTACGCCATTTCCATCCACTAGACCTCCTTCTACCATTGCTCCCTCAGCAGCTGCAACGCCTGCACCCACAGTGCCAGTATCTACTCTTGTTCCCTCTACTTCTACTCCCACCACAACAGCAACTACCCTTGGTCCAACTGTGGCTGGGACAACACCAACTCCCACAGTGCCAGGAACAACAAGCCCTACCCAACCAGGATCCACGACGGCTCCCACTGCAGCAGGCTTTACTAATGCTCCCACCACAGCAACAACCACCATTGGCCCAACTGTGGGTGGGACAACAGCAACTCCTACAGCACCAGGAACACCAAGTCCCACAATTCCAGGATCTACTTTAGCACCCACCCCACTGGCTTCTACAAGTGCTCCCACCACAGCAGCAATTACAGTTGGTCCAACTGTGGGTGGGACAACAGCAACTCCTACAGCACCAGGAACACCAAGTCCCACAATTCCAGGATCTACTCCAGCTCCAACTGTAGCAGGATCTACTGCTGCTCCAACTGTAACAGGATCTACTTCTACTCCCACTGCAGGGGTGACAACACTTCGCCTAGCTGTACCTGGGACTACACCCGCTCCCACTGTGCCTGGAACACCAAGCCCTACAATTTCAGGAACCACAACTGCCCCTACAATTTCAGTTTCTACTACTCGCCCCACCACAGCAGCAGCAGCTACACTTGCTCTTCCTGCTACTGGAACACCATCTGCAACCACTGCAGGCATTCAAGCAACCACAACAACATTGCCCACAGCAGGAGCAGAAACTGTCCGATCTTTTGAAAATGGGTTCCCAGAAACCATAAGATTGGATGATGTTGGAACCACTTCTGCTGACAGGAGCACACGTGTCTTTCCAATAACAAGCAGGTTATCCTTCCAGTTCTTTCCAAACACAGGAAGAGAACCTAACATCAAAGAAATCAGTGCAATGGTTCACCAAACTGTTTCCTTTTTTACACAAGAGTTCCAAAGCAATCCCACATTTGAATCCATGTTCAAAGGGTTGAAGCTTACCAAACTGATTCCGAAGTACAGTGCTGATGACGATCCTGACAAGTTTACTCTGGAGTTTGTAGCACTGATTGGTCTGGATGCCCCCAAGTCACGAGAGGTGTCAGATGAAATGGTATCCAAAGCAATGGGCGAAGCTGATTATGAAACCTACATTCACAGCTACGTTAGGGAGACGGGATCATGGAGCGAGTTCTACCAAACTTTTGCAGTTCATTTTGCTGGTGTCATTCATGCGGGCTAGATCCCCTGTTATGCAAGCATAGTTTGCCTTCTGTTTCGATGGAGAGGTGCAGTGAAAAGAGTCCCCTGCCTTTTTTCTTTCTTTGGATACCTCTTGGGGGTGACTCTGTCATGAAATGCAAGGCGAGAAGGCCTATTCCCAAACTCTCTGCTTTGATATATAGGTCCAAACGTTGCCTCTCTTCCCAGCACTGTGCATTGCAACCATATTGTATCCAATGGCACCAAAGGGTTCCACTGATTACCAGCTACTACAAACTAAGTCATAAGCTCTTCTCTCGTCTTTGGGGTGGCCATCCAAAGAAAGCCCACGAGTCGACCTGTACCAGGTACTCAGCGAGCTCTTCCAGGCTCTCTGGCTCTAAAACAAATATATCTAAAATCCCACGATTATACTCCGCACGCAACGCAAAACTACCCCTTCCGTGACAATGAGGCGTCTATAGAAACCTCGTCATCACTTTCATCATCCCTTACCACTGGCACTCGGATCTCCATACCGATAATAGTTTGTGGAGCCCCTTTGCCCCCAAGGCCGCACAGTCCCTAATTGAGAGAACTTGCGGATGCAGATTCCTGTCCGTCCTGGGTGGACCCAGTACTGAAACAGCCAAGGTCCAACTTGCAATCGTCGTCAATCTGCCAGGGTTTGCACAAATGGAATGACAAGTTCACGGCAGCCTTGACAAGCAATGGGAATGTATCAGGGATGTACTTTGCTCCTTGTGGGTTGTCCTTATACATAACCGAGAAATCGATGGTGTACAACTTTCTTGGTTCACGGCCCGCCACGTCCCGGAGTTCCGGAACACGCACCCCCTTCCATTCCTCTTTCAACAGACATCGCATGCGGCCCAACATCTGCTTCTGGGCGCTGCTGTCTTGACCCAAATTCTTGTAGTGGCTGTCCCAATTGGAATCAAGCGAGTCTGCCATAATTTTCATCATCTCGGCCAAAAGCCCTGTTGCTCGCTCGACGTCCTGGGCTTCTGCCATGTCGATGTGCGGGTAGAATCCTTCATCATTCATGTGAACCATCCTGTAGGTAGTGGCAGCGTCAGCAACAATAAGCATCTTGTAGCCCGTCCCGCTTTGCCACTTTGCCATGCTTTCCATCGAATCAAAGACAGGCACAGCGCACACGATCCCGTTTCATGGTGTCGTAGATATGATTGTGTGCGCCAGCAAAGACAAGTTTGGAACATCGCATGTTGGCGAATTTCGTGAGGGTTGCTATGTCATAGGGGACTTCTTGATGTCCGCTGACCATTTGGAACAGTGGCCACCACCACATGAGGCATTCCGGGTCTTTGGGAAACGTGTGCGCTCGACCGTAGTGGCTTTCGTCAATCTTTTCTCCCAACAGGTTCCGTAGATGCTCCCTTTCGTGGTTCTTGGATGCATTTCGGTTACTTTCGCTTTTTCCCCCTTCGAGGAGGGGATGGAGACCTCGACAACCTTCAATTGCCACGTATCCTCGAGGGTGTCCCAGAAAGCGCCCGACGCCTTCGCCGCTGCCTCCGCTTTTACCTCCGCTCTTCCCTTCGCTTCTGCCTCTGCCAACGCCGCCTGAAACTCAGGTGAAAGACCATCCATGGCTGCCTTCAATTCCTCTTCACTCAGGTTTACTGTTGATTTGAATAGAACTGTTTGATGGAGACGATCAATCGCTGTTGTCGCCCTCGGGTTTGGGAATTGTGTTCTGGGAAGACCGCAGCGTGTGATTGGTGGGCGTTTACATGTAACGTCCACGTGCAAGGCAGTTAACGTCAACCTGGGAGTGGCAAAAACCTAGCGAAACAATCGAGCACGTAGAATTTGCGCCATGCGTTACAGTACACAATCCGACCGACATTACATTGTCAAACGGGTTATCGGGCAATCTAAGCCCTCGATTCAATTCGTTTGGAGCCACTACCCTCGAGTTCGATAGCTAGCTAGTCTAACCGGGAAGTAATAAGTTACTATGGGTCTATTCTGAGGATGGGGTGCAGAGCCAGGAGGGCAGAATGCAAGAACACGAGCCAAACAATCGCGTGAGCAGGGCAACGTCAAAACCAAAGAAGGAGAGGGGACAAGGGAGAAGGGCAGGGACAATCAAATCAAGGGAGGAAGTCTAGCAGAAGAGAACAAGAGCACCTGGGTCATCCCAACGCTTGGAGAGCTTGAGAGCTGGAACACGAGAGCCTCATAAACCCATGGTCACTTCACAAACAAGCGCAATGCTCAACCTTGCAAAAGCCAAAGAGTCAACCACAGAGTAGCACTTGTGAGCCAAAAGGTGGGAGAGCCGTCGGTAGCGTTCTCTTGACCTTGATGAAGAGCTATAGTACTAGTACAGTCGTAGGGTGAGGTCGGACGATAAAGGCGAGATCAGACAAAATTGTGGACGAAACCAGGGAGACATTCAGTCGTTGTTGAGGGTCATTCTAATTCTTCCAGATGTTTAAATAAAAGAACTCCCTCTGTCACACTTGTGACTATTCACCTTTATATGCTTTATGAGTCATCAGAAAGCGTTTGCAAAGAGTCTTAAACATTTCCAAAAGCAAAATGACCAGTGGCTTCCGCAGAACACACCGATTTCTGTTGTGGTCGTGTCTCTCCCAAGCGAACTTACCGTTGTTTGTTGCATCCATCGTCGAGCCGATAATGGTCGTTATTATGGTTGTTGCGTGCTTTATCCTTCTGTTTGTCCACCAAAACCATTACATGTATCGGTCGTCTAGAGCTAGCTACCGTAGCTAGCTACTAGTAACTGCGTCTACTTATTCCAAGTCAAGTCGATCACGAGCCAAATCCAACAACAACAACATGTATGGACTCAACTGCATCAAGATTGCTCGGTTAAGAGCTCTTGCTTTTCTGATTGCTATCTGTTTGGTGGCAGCAGTTTCAGCTCGTGTTGGACGAGGAGGATTGAAGGGCCGTTGGATAACTCCAAGAACTGCAGCAGCAGTACAACAGAAATCGAATGGTCCGTGGGACGGGGATGGCATCAAGGGCAGAGGCGCATGGGACAGCCTTTCCTCGGATCGCAGCAGACGTCTCCAGTCGGAAACGAGGACCATGGGATTTAGAATTAGTAGTATGGGAAATTCCACCGTGACTACTAATAGTTTTAAAAACCAAAGGATGCGCTGGAGCTGGGGTATGATGAGGTCAAGTGGGAGCAATTCCATGACAATGACAAGCAAAAGCATGAAAACAGGAATGTCCAGCAAATCAAGGAGCAAAAGCAGAATAACTCGTCGTCCAACAAATCGACCCACCAAGCGACCAACCAATCGACCTACAAGCAGACCAACCAATCGACCCACAAACAGACCAACCGCAGCACCAACTACCGAACCTCCAAACCGTGCCCCCTCACCCGGCAGTCCTATCAGCATTTCTCCGAGTGAAAGTCCCAGTGCAACTCCTAGTGAATCGCCAAGTGTTTTTCCGAGTAAGAGCCCCAGTGCCTCTCCAAGTGCCTCTCCAAGTCAGACACCAAGCGGATCTCCCAGCCAGATATCTAGCACATCTCCCAGTGAGATCCCTTCCATAAATCCTACTGCCACAACTACAACTAATAGTCCTACTCCAGCAGCAACAACAGCAAGACCCACCCAAGGAGCAACCACTGCTAACCCCACTGCCACATCTACAACAAATAGGCCCTCTGCAGCTACAACAACAGCAAGTCCCACTCGAGGGACAATGACTGTTAGCCCTACGGCTACATCAACAACCAGTAGGCCGACCGCGTCCACGACCACGGCGAGCCCTACACAAGGAGCAATCACTGCTAGCCCCACTGTGGCAACAACGACCAGTAATCCTACGGCATCCACAGCAACAGCAAGTCCCACTCGAGGGACAACGACTGCAAGCCCTTCGGCTACGTCAACAACAAATGTTCCCACTGCAGCAACAACAACAGGCAGTCCCACTTTAGGAACAAGGACAGAAAGTCCTACCGGTACTTTTGGGACAGGAAGTCCCACTTTAGGAACAACGACAAATGGTCCCACTGCAGCCACATCAACATCAAGCCCCACTGCAAGCTCCACAGCTGCAACAACCAGGACCTATTTCATGACCTTTAGTGGACCCACATCAGGTTGGACAGGTGAACAAATGGTGGTTGCATTTGAGGTGTCCTACAACTCGCTCCCAGAAGCCAATGCAACCATTGAAAGCATACAAGTTGGTGAAGCAGTTCCTCTTGTTGATCCTGATTTCTTCTTGGAGTTTAATGTGACCTCCAGCCAAGCAATAGATCAAGTCCTGACTACATATGAAGCTGAGTTTCTGCAACAATTCAATCAGGAGATCGTAGATACTGGGGTCATTGCAAGGGCTCTGAGTACCGATCCCCCACTTGTGGTGACGTCATCGCCAACGCCATCTGCTACAGGCAGCCCCACCATAGCATCTTCAACTGCATTACCAACAGGATCTGTGACAACGTCGATCCCCTCAGGGTTGCCTGTTACAAGCAGCCCCACCAAAACATCTTCCACTGGCAGTCCAAGTTCAGACACTACAAGCACTAGCAGCCCCACTGCAAGCACCAGATCTCCAACCTCAGGCTCGACCACTGCGGTTCCCACTGGTTTTGTCACAACAGCTTCTCCTACCAGCTTTCCCATTACGGGCAGCCCAACAACAAGCTCTTCTACTGGAAGTCCAAGTGCTTCTACTACAAGCACTGGAAACCCAACAGCTGGCTCCGCCACAGCAGTGCCAACTGGATCTGTGACGACATCTATTCCTACAGGGTTCCCTGGTACAAGCAGTCCCACTACCAGCTCTTTGACAGACAGTCCAACTTCAGGCTCTACGGCCACTGGCAGACCCACCACAACAACCAGCAGCCCAACCGCCACTGGCTCCACAACAACATCTGTACCAACAAGGTCCGGGACAGCAACCTCGATTCCTACTACTTTCACCGGCAGTCCCACTACCAGCTCTTTGACAGACAGCCCAACTTCAGGCTCTACGGCCACTGGCAGACCCACCACAACAACCAGCAGCCCACCGCCACTGGCTCCACAACAACATCTGTACCAACAAGGTCCGGGACAGCAACCTCAATTCCTACTACTTTCACCGGCAGTCCCACTACCAGCTCTTTGACAGACAGCCCAACTTCAGTCTCTACGGCACTGGCAGACCCACCACAACAACCAGCAGCCCACCACCGCTGGCTCCACAACAACATCTGTACCAACAAGGTCCGGGACAGCAACCTCAATTCCTACTACTTTCACCGGCAGTCCCACTACCAGCTCTTTGACAGACAGCCCAACTTCAGTCTCTACGGGCACTGGCAGACCCACCACAACAACCAGCAGCCCAACCGCCACTGGCTCCACAACAACATCTGTACCAACAAGGTCCGGGACAGCAACCTCGATTCCTACTACTTTCACCGGCAGTCCCACTACCAGCTCTTTGACAGACAGCCCAACTTCAGTCTCTACGGGCACTGGCAGACCCACCACAACAACCAGCAGCCCCACCACCGCTGGCTCCACAACAACATCTGTACCAACAAGGTCCGGACAGCAACCTCGATTCCTACTACTTTCACCGGCAGTCCCACTACCAGCTCTTTGACAGACAGTCCAACTTCAGGCTCTACGGCCACTGGCAGACCCACCAACAACCAGCAGCCCCACCGCCACTGGCTCCACAACAACATCTGTACACAAGGTCCGGGACAGCAACCTCAATTCCTACTACTTCACCGGCAGTCCCACTACCAGCTCTTTGACAGACAGCCCAACTTCAGTCTCTACGGGCACTGGCAGACCCACCACAACAACCAGCAGCCCACCACCGCTGGCTCCACAACAACATCTGTACCAACAAGGTCCGGGACAGCAACCTCATTCCTACTACTTTCACCGGCAGTCCCACTACCAGCTCTTTGACAGACAGCCCAACTTCAGGCTCTACGGCCACTGGCAGACCCACCACAACAACCAGCAGCCCAACCGCCACTGGCTCCACAACAACATCTGTACCAACAAGGTCCGGGACAGCAACCTCAATTCCTACTACTTTCACCGGCAGTCCCACTACCAGCTCTTTGACAGACAGTCCAACTTCAGGCTCTACGGCCACTGGCAGACCCACCACAACAACCAGCAGCCCTACGGCCGCTGGCTCCACAACAACATCTGTACCAACACAGTCTGGGACAGCAACCTCGATTCCCACTACTTTCACCGCAAGCCCAACGACAAGCTCTTTTACTGGAAGCCCCACTGGTAGCTCTTCCACAGGTAGTCCAACCACTACCACAACAACAATGAGCCCAACTGAAACTACTACAACAATGATCCCAACCGAAAGTTCTACAACAATGCGCCCAACTGAAATGACAACGACACTGAGTCCAACCTTAAGTTTCACAACTGTGAGCCCAACTATACGCTCTTCAACTGGAAGTCCTAGTTTGATTGTTACATCTGCTCCAACTTTACCTGGGTCCGTTTCAACATCAAGTACAATGAGCCTAGTCATATCACAGGCAAATGGAAGGCTTCCTGCTCAAGCGGAAATTGATGAATTCATGGTCCAGCTGAGTGAATTCTACACCGATGTGCTCACAAATGTGTTTGGTGCTGATTTGCAGAGTTACACAGCAACGGAGACATCTTCAATCAGTGAAGTGGCAGGCAATTTTACGATTTCATTGGTCAGTCATGAAGATGTAACGGTTTTTGTGGATGGAGCGACTATTCCCTCTCAGGCAGAGGTTGACCAAGCCATCCAAAATGCAGACTTGACCGCGTTTGTGGAAGACTACATTCCAAATGTGCTACCAGATGACAATATATACAAGGGCACCATACTGGCCTCCTCCACGTCCACAACAGGAAGCCCAACAGCCAAGCTCCAACCCTTCAATATCACACAGATCCTTTGCAGCCCTCAGTTCCTCTCACTGCAGCTCTGCAACACCACCCCTTCAGTATTCCCCAGCTCACCCCCCAGTGCCACTCCAAGCATTTCCCCCCGAGGATCGGCCTCTGGCACAGCTACTCGAATCACACCAACAGCACTTGGTCCAACAGCAGAAGTAACAACTTCGCCAACAACCCTAATAACAGCAACGGCTGCTCGATCTTTTGGTGCTGGGCTTCCAGAAATCATAAAATTGAAAGACTATGAGGCTACCGAGGATGATACAAACATCGATACCTGTCCAGTGGCTAGCAAGCTGTCATTTAAGTTCTTTCCAAACACAGGGAGAGAGCCCACCATCAAAGAAATCAGTGCATTGATCAACACCACGGCTGCCTTCTTCACACAAGTATTCCAGAACAATCGAATCTTCAAGCCTGTGTTCAGAACTCTTGAGCTCACTGAACCAACTCCAAAGTACAGTTCCTCCAGCGACCCTGACTTGTTCATTCTGGAGTTTTTGGCCCTGATTGATGTCAATGCCACCAGTTCAGAGCAAGTGTCAGGTCAAAGGGCATCCAGAGTTATGAGTGCTTGTAATTATGCCACCTACATTGGCAATCATGTCAGGAAGATGGGGTCAAGGAATGAATTCTACCAGACCAGAGCAGTTCATTTTGTTGGTGTCAGCCACAAAGGCTAACTGTCCTCGCATAACAGAATTCTCGTTTTGTAAATTTTCATAATACTTTTTACTCCAATCCATTCAGCTTCTATTCCAGATTTTGCATTATGAACGCCTGTATCAGGTTCTCTCAGCCGACTTTTGTTGCTCTCAGAACTGCCTGCATGATTCTGCGAGCCCAGCCTCGCCTCGCCTGCATGGATGCCACCCAAGAAACCGGACCTGGCTATCCATCCTAGCCCTCCAAGCAACACTCAATGACACTGCAGTTTGCTCTCCACTATATATGTAGTACCAAGGCGACCGGATACAATCGTTCAGTGTGGGGATCCTGAGTCTAAATCTCCAAAGCAGGGGTCATTGAACATTCATCGATTGCCCATGTCGCAGGAGGCATTGTTGGGGTCTGCAGTTATATGGTATTGTTTTTCGTGCGCGGATTGAAGTATCCTTCTCGAGAAACGGGGTAGACATGTGTCGGTGCCATGCTTGGACTCGTGCTGGGAGTTGAACGTGCATTGGTTGGAGGAATCATTGGGATCAGGGGGCTCTCCATCGAAAGCACAAAGCTCGAGCCATCAATTCGGCTATGTAAAGGTGCTCTGCTCTCCTCCTCATTCAGTCACCCTCGTGAGTAGTACTGCCACGAGGGCACCAACTGCCACAAAGAACAACAGCAAGATCAGTGCCCAACCAGAGGAACGCCTCGTCGTCGAAGGAGTCACGGCATCTTGTACCATGCGGTTCCTTCATACGGTACACTTGTTCCTGCGTCATTCGGTCGACGTTGCGGCCTGACCAATTTTGGGATCCTCTTCGTCGTCCAATACCTCCCACCCTTGAAAAGCCTGTTCTGGGTGCTCTGAATGTGCCGCCACGGCTTGCTCTTATGCCGGTGACTCATTGGGTGACGGCTCTTGAGCATGTTTGAGAGCAGTATGGTTCAGGAGGGGAGGAGCTCCACCTACGGTATGGGCTCCAGGGATGGATTCGCCAGCCAAGGTGGCACGACCCCGACGAACGCCATGAACATGCAGAAGCACTGGCGTGGGAAATGCCAAAAAGGTCCCGGGGACAGTAAGGTTTCTGGATTGAGTTTCTGGGACAACGCCGGCTTTGAGAGTGTCTTGATCCTTGACGGCAATTGCGAGTCGAGTCGAGTCCATTGTAGTCGTTTTCCTTGGCGGATGCAGGTTGGATTTTAGCAAACCTTTCGGGTTGTACTCGGACAGTAGCACAAATAACTACTGGCATCCACTCTACTCTCTTACTAGAATCATCATCTTCTTCTTCTTGATGGGCATTGAGACATACGGCCACAATGTTGCTTTCAATAGTGGTTGTTACTCGTATCATTCGCGCTGCTTGCCTTGGACGGATGGAAGTCCGTAGCAGATCTGGTTTTTTATCCAATGACTGAAGAACTTTTAGCTGCCTCCATGAGAGCATCAGTGCCAAAATGGTGTCCGCGTCCAACCTCACTGTACCTGGCAATTTCTCTTTTGGCTCGTCGTCCGCCCAACCATCGCCATCATCACTGCAGTCTGGAAGACTATCACCATCACAGCAACCACATGTGCCTGTTGGAACGGTTTCACTTGGATCTCCACAAGTAGTAGAAGACTGGCGGCACGCAGACACTCCAACACTCCAACACCACATCATTTTGGAGCCTTCGTTTTCTTGTTTTGCTTTTTGGAAATTGTGAGAGGATAATCTCAGTTCTTACAGATTGGAGAAACACACCTACTGATTTTGGCAATGAGTGCCCAGGAATACCGGATGTCAATGAATCGAAGGGACTCAAAGTCGGAGATCTGGCTAAGTAACTGATTGAAGCTTAAATATATCCTACAACGGTTGGATCATTTACTTACAAATCAAGTGATTTAATAGGAGATCAAAGGCATAAAACCAACTGTAAATCTGACAACACATTGGCAGTTACTTAATCAATTCAGGAGACCAAATGATTTAATTTTTAGTAAATCCCACAGCACAATGACTATAAATTTGACTGACCTATTTCACTTCAGCTAAGTAATTGACACAGATCTTTCTGAACATCAGAAGTCCTCTTAGTTGTATTCAAGCAGGCAAAGCACGATAGTGCAGATCGGATTTAACAAGTATATACCAGCTGGTTTAACCGCCGGATTAGTTAGAAGGCCACTATAGGCCGGTTTCATTGTCCTGCGCAAAACATTCAAGAAGTGGGTACGACTGTACAACAATTCTCCCTCTCTAGCTAGCTACTATGGTAGCTATTAGCTTGCAGGTGTCAGGAATGGCTGAGATGTGTTAGGGAGGGCTACATGTACGGTATGGGTGAATCATGTCATCAGTTGTGTGCAAAGGTCCAGTGGGCAGGGAATGAAAACCAATGAACAGGCCAACAGAAGGAGACGACAGCAGGGGGGGGACAAAGAGGAAACAGAGGCAGCGGGGGAGAGGGTAGGGACCCACTACCAGTAGTGGTAAAGGTGGAGGGCCCCACGATCATCCCAGTTCCTTTCAGGTTGTGTACAATTTGGGGCGGCAAGTGTCTCTTCTCTAAGATATCGGTATGCCTCGATTGACCCCTTTCAAATTGGCCAATGACAAGATCACGTGATCCCTCAGAACATTGCACGTCCCGAATTTCCCTCTTCTTTTCCTAAGCCTGGCCCTTCAAATTGGCCAATGACAAGATCACGTGATCCCTCAGAACATTGCACGTCCCGAATTTCCCTCTTCTTTTCCTAAGCCTGGCCCTTCAGGCTTCCGTAGATAACTTCCCCACTCTAGACCCCCCAGTTCCTCTAGTAGTAGAGCTGGCGTCTGATCATGCAATAAAGCTTAACTAGCTTTGGCTAGCCCAGTCAGTGCAACCTGGGGTATCTTGTGCAGCAGAAGTTTTCCTTCCAAAGAGGCTTGGTCGACCACATTGAACTTTCCCCTTGCTGGCTCAAACGTAGTTTCTGGAAGCCATGCACACCAGACGCAACGTTTCCTTTAGAAGCACTGGCTGGTACCGTACCGTGTACCGGTAGCTCCACTAGGCTACAGACCATGATTTTCCAAGATTGATTCGATTCTGCCGGTAACTTTGGCCAAACTCAGCTTCCAAAGGCACGGTTTGGAAACATGGTCGCTCGTCCAATGAATGGGGAAGCTGTTTCTGGGATACTCCTTTTTTAAACGACCCGGAGCTGACGAGCTATACACGATCTTAGAAGTTCTTGTTGGCTTCATCTTGCTTTTGGACACGGGTTCTTGCGACTTGCGAATGAGTTGGGTTCTTAGAGCTAGCTACAAGGCTTGTTTTTGTTCTAGGTAGTTTGTCTGTTATTACTAGCAGCTAACGTTAGTACACTATTCCAACTCCCCGATTCCCGTGTCAATGAGTCTCCAGGAAGTTGGGAATTCCCGTGCATAGTACGATTGCTTGACCGGATAATATGTCTGCAGATGATCGTACCGGTCCTCGAGGGCATAGTACCAACTATTGTGAATGCCCTTTTCGTATCCCGGTGCTTTGTCGTGTGTGGAATGATATCCTCGCAATCGATTAATGTATCCGGTAAATGTCGAGAACCAACATCCAAAGAATGTTCGACTTCGTGATGCCACCAACTGATCCACCATGCCAAAAAAGTTGGAATTGACATCTTCCCCCAGTACATCATGAAAATCATCCAAAAAGACAATATCATACTTGTCTCGCAGAGGTTGGAAAAAAGCCTTGTCGCGTTCATCAGTGGCAATATAAATCGTTTCTCCCTCGTGCAGTTTACTCTTGCTCATATCGTAGATTTTGGGAGCATCAAATCGTGTCACCGTGTATTGAAAATCACCTCGCCGAATATGAAAGGCATCAAAGTCACCGTTGGGATTATTTCCCGCCACGACGGGATTTGTCCGAGCGCGTTCTCGTACCGCTTCCACCACTCGTGCGGCCGCACATTGAATGAGGTCGACGTAACGGACATGATCTCGTACAAATCGTTTCATAAACAAGTCTTGTTTCCAATCTTCAAAGAACAAAAAGGCATAGAAATGTACCAACAATCGTGCACCCAATTTGTGATCGGAAGGGAAATGAATGAGTTGTGTATTTTGGAGTGTATTGTCGTAGAGACACAATGTTTTGCGTCCGGCCCAATTTTCCATCATGCGTTGTTTGGCAGTGGCATTGACGGGGAATGGTTTGCCCACATATGCTTCGTACGATGGAAAGCTGCCACCGTGTTCTTGTTCGACTTGTTTTTTGATATCCCATAATTTTTGTGTTTCTTGTGGATCGGGACTGGTGGGAAATGCCGCCATGCACTTTTCTGGTGTCCAAATGGCCATGTGTCCGGTCGCCCGCAAGAATTCAAAGAGTGGTTGTCGTGGTTTGCCATCCCAGTCGGTTTGATTTCGTGGTGGAAATACAACATTTCCTTGCTGATCTCTCAGATTGCCCGTCATGGCTTCTCGTTGTAGAAATTCCTTCATGGTAATGATATCTAGACCGGGATGTTCATTGTGAATGGATTCCATGTGAAAAAAGTGATTGAAGGAGAATTCTCTTCGTTGTGAATCTCCTGCATTTCCCTTGTGTTTTCCGAGTAGATAAAAGACCTGTTCGGGTGGTAATACCAGTGTGCGTCCCATGGCATAGGCCATGGCCAGGACGGTTTCCATGCTCATGCGAATGTTGTTCCTGTAATAATAATAATAAATAGATAGAAAAGGAGAGATAGATAAACAGAAAGATGAGGTCAGAGTCATCAATATTGGCATGGCATGTTTTGTTTTTGTATGTGAGTACTGTACTTACCAACCCCCCTGATCTGGTTCAAAGGTGAGATACTGTTTGGGTCCATGGGTTCGTTTAAAGGGCGAAATGTGTCTGGCATCGGAATGTACATCTTCCCAATAGACCATTTCTTGTGCCGTCTCTGGTGAAGGACCTCCATAAGCATCGCAATTGAGTCCGGCCAATTGATGACCGGATTCTTGTTCTTGTTGCGCAATTTCTTCCGCCTTATCTTTGATACCACTGGCACTGGTCAATGTGGAAACGCCATTGGAAAAAGAATCCATGAGAATGGCTTGAATGCGATCGAGATTTTTGGCCCGGTCGGTGGACACGTGCAAATTGAGGAGTAGTGTGGCTACACCAAACAGGACAATCAAGAGTAAAAAGCCGAGCATGACATGGCGGCCACAGAAACTACTACTGCCATTGCCGCTGCTCTTTTTACTCGATTTCTTGTTAGCCGCAGGCGCACTGCCTTTGCGGGAACGCGCGGTTGTCTTGACATACGGCATGGTTCTTTGTACTAAAGCATACAGGTCGATAGAATCTGATAGAAGAGTAGAGTAGAGTAGTATACTAGAGAGAGAGAGAGATGCTTGGATCGGTTGGACAGAATGAATGAGTGACAATGGTAGCAAGGCACAACGGACACGAGAGGAACGTGGAAGATACGAAACGGCAATTTGGACTCAATTCTATTTAGAGCTAAGGTTAAAAAGATTCGATTCTCGTTCCGACAGGAACCTCAACGCCTCCAAAGAACAAACAAAGTCCAAAGGACAAACCAAGGTAAGGACAACAAGCACCATGTCGTCTTCAAGCTCTGCTTCTGCGGTTGTGCCTGTACCAGTACTATCGTTTTCGGACAAGGTGGTAGTGGTAACGGGAGGAGGTTCTGGGATCGGCAAGGCCCTGTGCGACGCCTTTGTAGAAGCGGGTGCTGGTGTTGGTGTGGCACTGGATCTACCCCACAAGCTTTCGTCTACTAGCAATGGTCGCGTTTGGTCTCTCCCGTGCGACGTGACGTGTCCATCGCAAGTATCCCAAACGATCCAGTCCATCAAGAATCGCACCCACAACAAGATTGATATTTACTGCAGCAACGCCGGCATTCTGGTTCCATCGGATGACGCCACAAATGATAGTTGCGTCAAGCACGGCGTAGAGGAGTGGAATCGCATCTTGCAAGTCAATCTCATATCACACATTACGGCATTAACGTGTCTGTTACCCGATTGGGAACGAGGCATTGGAGATGGACACTTTTGCGTCACGGCGTCGGCGGCGGGATTGTTGACCATGGTGGGCGATGCCAGTTACGGAGTCTCCAAAGCCGCCGCCGTTTCCTTTTGCGAACACGTACAAATTGCGCACTCGCCTAGTGTCAAAGTTCATTGTCTTTGTCCACAAGCTGTCAGTCACACCAATCTGATGCCCATCACCAATACTGACAGTAGTAGTCATAATACGAATGCCGCCATGACGGACGGGGCATTGTCGCCGCAAGAAGTGGCATGCGCCACACTCCAAGGAATTCAAAACAACGACTTTTTCATCTTTCCACACACCACCGTACCAAAGTATGTACTACGAAAGGCACAAAATCACAAACGATGGATTCAGGGAATGCAGCGCATGAGAAATACACTCTTTCCGCAGCAACAACAACAACAACAACAACAAGACGAAGACAGTGGAACTAAACTACTGCTACAGAGATCCAAACTGTAAAAAAATGAATGGAATGGTACGAAACGAAACGAAAGGATGCCAAGAGTGCATGGCATGGAGTAAAACGTGAAATCGAAAAACTGCAGTACAGTACTGTACGACGGTGGATATGGATATATATGTGGTGCCATACAAAAAGCCGGTAATCGCTTTGGATACCGGTAGATTGCTTTAGTATAGAGTACGGTATGCATTATTGTAGTACCAAAGTCAACTCATCTGCCCATTTCTACAGGTGTTGCTTTTGCTTTCTTGGTGCATGCGCTTGTTTGCACCAAACAAGAACGCACAATCCTTGGATGCGAGTGAATGACGAACGACTCGAGTCGTGGATGAATCGAATCCTAATTAATTTTTGGGAGCGTTTTCAAAAACTCATTAGAGCTTCTTTTTGAGCTCTAATGATTCCACTTTTAGGTCAAGTGGAGCTACTAGACTATAGCAAGATCATGTCAATATGGGTGTCTATAGAGGTTGTAAACTCCCCTCCAGACTAGGATCCAGGCAAAGGCAATGGCCCTGGTTATACCAGAGAGGCCTGCTGCATGTATCACAGACAGACCTACTTCCATCCAATTTATACCCTCGGGGGAGGAAGGGAAAAGAAAATTGGTGTCGCGGCTGCAACCAGTTCAGAAAAAGGAACATTGATGTAGCCGCCGAATGAAGTAGTCTCTTCTAGCGTAGGGCGAGGCGAGACACCGACATGAGGCGGAGCAGCCA